ATTTCTCCAGTACACTCGAAAAACATTTGGAAAGAACTGTGCTTTACAGTATAATTGATTTTTATGACGCTCAGTAATTTCGGTATACACTGTGACCTCCACAGCAGGGTGAGCTGGCAGATTCTGGGTTGCCGTGGAGATGAGGATGCTCTGTCAAGCTGATGGCTGGGACCCAGCGCCTTAGCGTTTAATCTTTTGTATAATCTCCCATCTGTTCCTCCTTCCTGGTGGAAGTGGGTCTTTATTGTGAGAATATGACTTCCTTGTGATTTTTAAAGGCTGAGCAGTGTTTGAATTCATCTCTGTGTACATGAAATGACTTTATCTTATTTATGCACAGGGCTTAAAATTTAAAGTCCTACACTACTTACCAAGCCTTAAAAGATCCTTGGCATACTCTCCAGGGGCGAATTTTTACTTGCCAGATATACATTTTCACTTGCATGTGCTTAGTGGAGAGTGGAAATTTTGAACCTTGAATACAAAATGTAATACTCTTACTGTGGACACATTTACTTTTTATAAAGTCATAACTGATATACGTTTACCAATGGGAGAAACAGTCATTTGACGCAGTAATAGACTCGCCATATAAACACATAAATAAACAGTTTGTACCCTTACATTGCAATTATATGAATGGGGCAAAACAAGACACATAAAGTGTTGCCCTAGGAGACTCTAGTCACAGTATGGTATAAATACATGAGGCGCAATGGACAAATTCTTATCGAGACAACTCTGTCTAGAGATACATGAAAGTTATAAATTAAAATAAAAAATCTTTATTCAATATTAAGTAAGAAACAACACAAGTAAGAAATATAGAAAAAATACCACCCAAATAATGCGCTCGTGAACAAGTAATAGCGTGCCGAAAGTGTACCTTAGCAGGCATATGGTGATAGTGAAAGATCCTAAACCACCATCTTGGAAATATATTAATATTGATATTCTGTGGCGATAAGGTGTTATACTAAAAAGGAAAGGATCACTAGAACCAATGCCTACAAAGGATTATTCAGTGTATGTTTCAGTATGTCTCGTGTTAGTGTAATTGCTCAAATTGCTGATGTATAATATCCGGTAAACTGAATAGTATAAATGTCTGAATGTGCAACAAGAGGGAAAATGACACAACGAGACAGATGATTGGAGGACTAGTAATTAGATAAAGAAAAACAGTAAGCAAATAAGTATTGCTTAGCTCAACTAACTAAACTATGGAACAAATAGCACCCTGGTAAGTATCTATATATACCCCAGTAATACCATCTTGATCAAGTAAGTTTGGTATGCACAAGGGTTTCCTAACCCTCTACCAGGGTGTCTAACTGTAGTATCCAGACAGCCCCGGACTCAAGACTGTAAAGCAGATAGCAAGCACCCTGGTAAGTGTCTATAGTGTCTTAAGATATTCGTTCACACGATAGTGGATACGTAAAAGAGCTACTTGACCCTACATGTGCTTTTGAGGGCACCTATGAAATATGTTGAAACAGTTCTAAATGCTGAATAATCCCTAAGCTCACTGTGAACACTTCTACACTGAACAAAATTATAAGCGCAACACTTTGGTTTTTGCCCCCATTTTTCATGAGCTGAACTCAAAGATCTCAGACTTTTTCTATGTGCACAAAAGGCCTATTTCTCTCAAATATTGGCATGTTGATTGTAGGAATGTCCACCAGAGCTGTTGCCCGTGAATTGAATGTCAATTTCTCTACCATAAGCCGTCTCCAAAGGCGTTTCAGATAATTTGGCAGTACATCCAACCGGCCTCACAACCGCAGACAACATGTAACCACACCATCCCAGGACCTCCGCATCCAGCATCTTCACCTCCAAGATCATTTGAGACCAGCCACCCAGACAGCTGCTGCAAAAATCGGTTTGCATAACCAAAGAATGTCTGCACAAACTGTCAGAAACCATCTCAGGGAAGTTCTTCTGCATGCTCATCATTCTCATCAGGGTCTCGACCTGACTGCAGTTCGTCGTCATAACCAACTTGAGTGGGCAAAAGCTCACATTCGATGGTGTCTGGCACTTTGGAGAGGTTTTCTCTTCACGGTTGAATCCCGGTTTTCACTGTACAGGGCAGATGGCAGATAGCATTTATGGCGTTGTGTGGGTGAGCGGTTTGCTGATGTCAACGTTGTGGATCGAGTGGCCCATGGTGATTATGGTATGGGCAGGTGTATGTTACGGACAACGAACACGTGCATTTTATTGATGGCATTGTGAATGCATAGAGATCATTGTTGTGCCATTCATCCACGACCATCACCTCATGTTGCAGCATGATAATGCACGGCCCCATGTTGCAAGGATCTGTACACAATTCCTGGAAGCTGAAGACATCCCAGTTCTTGCATGGCCAGCATACTCACCGGACATGTCACCCATTGAGCATGTTTGGGATGCTCTGGATCGGCGTATATGACAGCGTGTTCCAGGTCCTGCCAATATCCAGCAACTTCGCACAGCCATTGAAGAGGAGTGGACCAACATTCCACAGGCCACAATCAACAACCTGATCAACTCTATGCGAAGGAGATGTGTTGCACTGCGTGAGGCAAATGGTGGTCACACCAGATACTGACTGGTTTTCGGACCTCCCGGACTCCTCCAATACAGTAAAACTGCACATTTTAGAGTGGCCTTTTATTGTGGCCAGCCTAAGGCACACCTGTGCAATAATCATGCTGTCTAATCAGCATCTTGATATGCCACACCTGTGAGGTGGATGGATTATCTCTGCAAAGGAGAAGTGCTCACTAACACAGATTTAGAGAGTTTTGTGAACAATATTTGAGAGAAAATAGGCCTTTTGTGTACATACAAAACAGTCTTAGATCTTCAGCTCATAAAAAATGGGGGCAAAAACAAAAGTGTTGCGTTTATAATTTTGTTCAGTGTATATAGTCAGTGAATTAAAAAAACGCGTTAGAAGTCATCGTAACTGCATTCTGAGATCTTATCCATCTCTGTTAGTTTTAGTAAGATATATTGCATAGCGTGAGGACGTCTAGCACCATTTAGGCGACCAAAAGTCGCCTATCCTCTCGGAAGTCCATGTAGTGGCTATCTGGTAGACAGCCACTAGAGGTAGAGTTAACCCACAAAGGTAATTATTGCAGTTTATAAAAACTGCAGTAATTACATGCTCAGGGTTAGGGGTGATGGGAGTTTGCACCCAGACCACTTCAATGAGCTGAAGTGGTCTGGGTGCCTATAGTGTCTCTTTAATCCTAGGTTTAACTTCTTTTTAAAACAAAACATCCCATGTATCCCAATATTAAATATAACCTTTCACAACACCCTATGGAATCTAGCTTTGACATTAAACTTTAGCCTTAAACCCATGTTTATTCTAAGCACTTCTAACATTATCTTTAATCCTGCACGTGTTTACACAGCTAAATACACTCACTATACTAAATAGAATCAAACACATTGCATTACAAGCATAAATACGCACATACATACTCACATACATTAATACTCACATACATACATACATACTCACATACATACATACATAAAACACATACATACATACATAAATACTCACATACATACATACATACATACTCACATACATACATATATACTCACATACATACATAAATACTCACATACATACTCACATACATACATGCATAAATACTCACATACATACATACATAAATACTCACATACATACTCACATACATATATAGTTACATACATACATAAATACTCACATACATACATACATACATACATAAATACTCACATACATACATACATACATACTCACATACATACATAAATACTCACATACATACATGCATAAATACTCACATACATACATACATACATACATACATACATACTCACATACATACATATATACTTACATACATACATAAATACTCACATACATACATACATACATACATATATACTCACATACATATATACTCACATACATAAATACTCACATACATACATAAATACTCACATACATACATACTCACATACATACATATGCATTTATCAAATACCTATTTTATTTTATTTTAGATGGTTTTTATCCAGTTAATGAATTCAGGAAACTAGCATTTCTAGATTTTTTTTGGTGGGGTGGGAGGATCAGTGGGCGCCTTCTGTGCCTATAGGCACCTGATTTATAAATTTGACCATGTATATCTTGCAACATTTTTTTTCTTTCTTTGGTCTATTAAGGATAGCATGTAGAGCTGCTTTTGTGTAGATCGGTTATTGTATTCTTTCTACCTTTGCATCTTCTTTGTCCTAATCTTGCCAATCCAGCTCAGGATTCTTCTTCCACGTAAATTAACGTAACTGATCCAGCAATTCGTACGCTGAATGGAAGTATTTAGTGTGTCACCCTGTCCCCTGATTTTGTCCCTGGTGGCAGTAGATTGATGCTGCCGTTGCAGTCAGTAGTCACAGTTTTTTGTGTTTTGCGAGGAAATAATAATATTAAATGCTTGCATGTATCTCCGATGTAAATGATGTCTTAATGAAGCTCCACAATATTGTTACTCATACTGAGCTGTGTGGAGCATAGGGTCTGATTTATTTACTTACTTACAAGACAGAATTGGCATGCAAGCAGTGTATTTAATTATATTCAAACTAAGAACCAGGTTGTATGTGCGTGTGTGTGTGAGATTTACATTAGTACCTTAAAGTGACGTACTAATATTATAAATGTGTGTCTCACTGGCATGGAACTTGTGATCAATGAGGGTCTGTTGTGCTAGCACCACCTATTGAAGCCAGTGTTAATGACAGATTCTGATGTTACATTCCTCTGTGATGCAAAATGTATAGCCACATCCATTTGTGCAGATTTCCCATCTTTGGGATAGAATTACAGCTATCAAAATTTAGTGGTGCAACTTTGGAAATGATATGTAATCTACCTAGAGAAAGCTTAATGAAATACACCGAAAACCTCTACAAATAAATGTAAACACAGACACTTACAGAAATACAATCTTTATTATAATTCTAAATCAACAAGCATTCAACCGCAACCCTTTTATTAAACCCTCATGGACTTATGATCAGTTCAGACATAGAGGGACAGACAGACACACAAGTAGATCACACATTGCAAATCTGGGGCAGGTATTTGCAGAAGAATAAATAAATCGGATTTCTGTATTGTGATTGCCACGAGCAATGGCTCTTTCTCTTGAGAATTGCAGTCGTGGAGGTTGCCAGTTAGTAGCCTCCCCTGTCTAATCTTGCTCTAAATATTACGTGACTTGCTGAGTGTGGATTGCTGAGTGTGTTGGACAGTGTTGTGAAATGCTGCTGAAGATTTCATGCCTCTGCTAGCATTCCAGCTTATATCATAATGGGCACCGCATGTCACAGAAAACCAATAATACTACCTTGGATTTTCCCTGATTTTCTCTCTTTAAGGCTACTGTAATAATTGTATTATGAAAGCTGTGTGCTTTTATTAAACCATATCTTTCATCCATGTAATATTTGTTTTCCTAATATCACAATTTCTTCCCTCTAATCAAGCTACAGATTAAAAAAAAGCAGAAGCATTAGTTTCCTAGATTAAGCTATACACGTAAGAATGCAAAGCTTATTCAGGGTGTCATGAAAGCAAGCCGCCATCCTCCCCTCCCCGTCCACGTAGTCTCATTTTAAAGCCTATGTTATAATGGTTTGATTATTGATTATATTCTAATTAGCATTTGGTCATAACCGCCGTGAGGTGGCAGGTTTACTTTTAGAAAAATATTCTTCTACACTCTGGTATTGTTAGGCTGTACTTTAACAAGGTATTGTTAGGCTGTACTTTATCGTAGTACTGCATAAAAATGTTCATAAATTAGGCAGGTTTTCTAAAAAAATATATCTATCTATCCAGAAGACTAAAATCTTATGAATCCATAATAATTCAACACTAATAACCTATACATAATACATATGGAATGGTTATTAAAAAACTCAGGTCAAAGCTACTTACACCTATCCCACACATGCAGTTCCACCTGTTGAATTGTAAATTCCATAAAGGCCCACACTTCAATGGATCACATGAAATTAGCCATGTGACAAATCTAAAGGACTCTTAGTCATTAGGTGTCCATGTCCTGAAGATGTCGACATTTCCTTGTCCAAAATGGTGTAATCCACTAAAGAAATGGACCAAACAGGATAAAGTTTTGGTCTGACATTAAACAAGTCTACAATAGGATGGAGCTAAAGCTAAATGCTTTGTTGCTATTGCAGCATAAACAAGTTTAAAAGGCTTTTTTCTGCCTGATGTTATGGTAGATATCATGACTGAATTAATATCACTGGTTACAGTAAGCACAGAAAAATGCAAGTACCACATGTAAAAAAAATAAAAAAAATTTCATATACGTATATATATATATATATATATATATATATTTCTGAAAAAGGTTATAACGTTTTTCTATGCCCCAGAGTCCCTAGTAGCGTCAATAAAAATTGAGTAATTTTGCACCCGTGTGAAGCCTATACTTCATATCTTGTATAATTTGTGCGGCAGGGAGGTAGCCCTGCGGAAGAATGGAGCCCCAGATTATTGTTTCCAAATGTGTGGCATGGATCCTTTACTACTTTACTAAGAGAGTTTGTGGGAAAAACATATGAAAAGTAATAAAATATTAAGTAAGTAAAGTAAGAATGTATAATATTGTACAATGCAGTCGTTTACTTGGTCCAGACTGAATGGAGACATAATCTATAAACTGGGCATAAACACAAAATATTGGTAGTAGAGTTGATAATGTGGAATAGATAGACCTTTATGCTGGATCAAACATTACTTCACATCTGGGTTTATATGTAACTTACTTCCAGAGAAAAGTGCTAAAGATCCCTTTTTAAAATAAGATAAGATAAGTTTGAGAATATGAGAATATGATCTGATTGACTGACTTCACTGTTCCAGCCAAAATGAACTGCATGTACTCTTAAACGTCTAGCAAGCCCTATAAAGGACTTGATAGAAGCATTTCTAATCATTTTTTAGGCAGTCATCATGTTTCATGGATTCTGTTTCTTGTGTGGTTGTGATTATTTTTTTTATTAAAATTGCATTGCATCAGATAAAGGATTTTTATGTGAATTGATTCTTATATCCAAAGGCAGAAGATCAGGGTGGAGATAATAACATTCTGAGTGGAATAGAGAACAAAAAATAGCAATATAACTGTATAATTTTAAATAACTAAAAAATAGACATTTGGATCTTTCTATTCCGTTCTCTTTAGGTTTCTATGTAGTGTTTCCTATAGGAATTATATTTCTACTATAAATCAATACATCTTCAGATACCAGCACCCAAGTCATTTGTTAGTGTGCCACTCATTTGTTAAGTGTCCATTCCTATATGCAGCCATTAAGAAAGCAGTATTAGGAGCACAGGCCATTGTGCCAACAGACACCTTAATTTACAGATCACGTCAGGAGTTGGGGAAAGGTGTTTTTATGTAAAAGTAAAGAGAAGGTGCCTCACTAACATAGGTCTACATTCTGTCTCTGGATTACACATTTTTAAACATATATATTATTGCTTCAGCTTAATCCTTCCAGCAGTCTACCATAGAGTTCTTCAGACTTGTCCCAGAATCCACCAATACACCAGAAATTCAATATCTACTTGCTTCAGCAGAGGTGAGCGAATCATTAGCTCATGGTTATCTCACAACATGGTCTGTTAGTGAGTCCAGCGGACAGGTTTGTAGAACAATGACCATCGATATTGGAATACACAACTGGTCTGTAGTAACTGAATATATATATTACTGTGCTAGACTTTTGTATTGTTTTTTTTTTTTTACTTGGGTAGTAAAAGGAAGGGGGTGTAACGCTGACACTTGAGGTTACAAACAACTCATTAAATACAACATACAACATTGTTTGACAAACAAAGCGCAACATGATAGAGATGAGTCATATGGGTTCAACCACATTATTGCGCAATCTTGGGGTTTGGAGTTGATCACTTTAAATGTGGTGATGGTGACAAGGATACTCAGGGATATTTACCAAAAAAATAAAGTCTCTGTGGGTTTTTATGGATGTTACACGATTCCAGCCAGTCACACTACCTGCAGCCAGGGCCCGTCTGTAGATTGCAGGGCAGCTCGTTCTCAGATAATAGTCTCACAAGTAAACCAGTCTTAAATCTCAAATAAGAGTTATCGAATATTGAATATGTCGTCTTCTGGAGCGTCTCTCCTGCCACAATTGCCACAGTATCAAGGCAGGGATAAGTGCTAATATCAGGCATATATTTCCTTGTGCATTTGCTTGCTGAAATGCAAGTACCTGTTTAATTAATGGATAAATGTAGGTATAAGTATTTATACATACATTTGCCGTGTGTGTATGTTGGATGTCTTGTATAATAATAACAGAGGCTTTTATTACATGGAATGTGGCACACAATGGCTTGTGACCTTAGAGGGGTATGATGTAAATGTATTTTTGCCACAATATATGTAATCTCATATAATTATATATAATTTTATATATATATATATTTATATATATATATATATATACACACACACACACTGATCTGCCACAACATTAAAACCACCTGCCAAATATTGTGTAGGACCCCCTCGTGCTGCCAAAACAGCTCTGATGCTATAAGACCTTTGAATGTGTCTTGTGGTATCTGCAACCAAGACATTTGTAGCAGATCCTTTAAATCCTGCAGGTTGCGATGTGGAGACTCCATGGATCGGATTTGTTGTTCCAGCAAACCCCAATCAGGTTGAGATTTGGAGAATTTGAAGGTTAAAGCAACACCTTGCATTCTTTGTAATGTTCCTAAAACTATTCCTGAACAATTTTTGCAATGTGGCAGGGTGCATTATCCTGCTAAAAGAAGGTAAATGGGGTCCGCAATAATCTCTAGGTAGGTGGTACGTGTCAAAGTACAATGAATGCCACAATCCAAGGACATTGCCCAGAGCATAACACTGTCTCCACCGGCCTACATTCTTCAAATAGTGCATCCTGCTGTTATCTCTACACCAGGTAAACAAAGCACATGCATCCAGCAATCCACTGGATCTAAAAGAAAACATGATTCATCACACCAGGCAACCTTCTTCTATTGCTCCATGGTCCAGTCCCCACTGAAGACACTTTCAGTGGTAGACAGGGCTCATCTTTGGCACTCTGACTGGTATGCAGCTACACAGCCCCATATGGAGCAAACTGTGATGCATTGTGTGTTCTGACACCTTTCTAGCGTGGCCAGCATTACATTTTTCAGTTGTTTAAGCCTTTGCTCCCCATGTGCATCAGAGAGCCTTTAGGGCCCATGATCCTGATGCTGGTTCACCAGTTGTCCTTCCATGCACAACTTTTGGTAGGTACTAACCATCGCATACCTGGAACACCCCACAAGATTTGCTGTCTTGGAGATGCTCTGACCCAGTCTTCTAGCCATCACTATTTGGAAAAGTCACTCAGATCTTATCGCTTGCTCATTTTTTCCTGCTTCTAACGCATGAAATGAAAGAACTGACTGTTCATGTACTGCCGAATATATCCCACACCTTGACAGGTGGCTTTGTAACAATATAATCAGTGGTTTAAATGTTGTACCTGATCAGAATATATGTGTGTGTGTGTGTGTGTGTGTTTTCCTCCACAACTTTCTTATTTTCTAGCCAGCTTTTCTTTGATATATCTTTGATCATTGTTATTGACATTTAAAAGTGCTTTTTTTTAAAAGTTGTTTTTATTTTACTTTAATACCTTTAACCCTTACTACCTCAGAAGCGCAGGCGACCTTTGCTTTATCCAATGAATTGCATACCGCTTCCGATATTCATCAGGTTAAAAATAAATATCTGCCATAAGAAAATGATACTTAACTTATATGAGTTCCTGTGATCCATAACTAGGAAAATACTTTTTACTCTGGTAATTACAAGTCTTTATTAATTTACTGGTGTTCTGTAATTTATATATACTCCTGCATTGACAGCTTAATTGTGCAGCAAACTCTGAAGATGCTTGAGAGGGTGTTATATGGTTAAGTGCTTTTGGTTATTGCAACTCGAGTAGCTGTTGCTAAATAGGGTTACATATTTGATCCTATGACTGCTGTCACTAGAGGGGTGTGCAGTGTAGGGCACCCTGTATGTTATGCAGAAGGGGCACTGTAACATCCACTCCATAATGAGGGAAATAACAAGAGTTTGTCCTTATGCAACAGAGGAGATTTGCCTTTGTTCCTCTTGTTCACCTTCAGTGTCCCCCATCAAGGGCTGTCTCTTTTTAAGCTCCCGGTGGTATTTGGCCATAAGCGAAGCATATATGCAGCCATACGCAGCTGCAACCACCATCATTATACAGACCACGCCACATACAACGCCTGCAATTATCACTGTGCCAATAGCACGTCGAACACTTGCTGGACGATATCTCTGCTTTTGCGGGCAGTCTGGACTGGGCTCTGGTTCCAGAGGAGCTAGACTTCCCTTAGTGCAAGGTGGAGCTTGCCTATCACCTGGACCAGAACTGTTTTCATCCTCCAATTGGGAGCAGTAGTTAAACATCTCTACAGGCACCATGCGTATGTCTCTGCCACGCAGTTCCTTGGGGAGAGTGCATTGTAGTTCATCTATTTTTCCCCCTACAAGGAAACCGAAAATGAAAGGCAAAAGTTGGTATCCCTCCACATATGTGAAACAAAGTAATGAATGAACAAGATTTGTTTAAAAAGGAAAATACGATGTGCATATGTGTCCTGATTATTAAATTCAAATGAGGAAATCAAAGTTCTGTACCTTTGTAGTATTTTAAATTATATTTGTGTATCACAAAACGTTGAGAAACATTGTCATTCTATGACATTGCTCTTGTAATTATTTATTCCCGAAGGAAGAAGTACTTATAAGACTAAGGCTTAACAGCAATAACTTTTCTCTGCTGTGCAAACAAATAGGGAACTTTAATACCAAAAAATGCTGTTTAATGTTAGAAATTTAGACCTTCGTGGGATTATTGCCCTATAAGAAGATTGCAGGAAAAATAAACATTTTATGTTTTTTCTATCCAGATGTAACTCATTATTCACATGTTTTAATTTTATCAGTACTTTTAATAATAGGCTCATGGTGGAGAATTCGCAAATCTAATGCTCAGAAAATTAATTAAATTAAAGAAACAATAATCTCAAATGATTAGAATCTGTTAGGAATACTTTTCAAATGTCTTTTCTACAGAAGTCACAATTAAAGTCTATCGGAATTTTTGTACTTAAATTGTTTGAAACATTTTTTTAACACATCAAACGTGTGGTTGAATAGGGAATAAAGGGTCTCTAACTAAACCAACATGTATCCTAAACAAATGATATTACACTTAGTAGAACTGTTTGTCCATAGTGTTAACATTTTCAAATGATTCAGCATTCCCTATAGTATTCTAAACTGTGGCCGAAAGAATTGTGCTACCCATCTGATTTCTGACTTCTTCCTGACCTTTGCCCACCTTTAATTCATTTGTGTATAAATAGTCATAGGTACTGATGTGAAATATCTACATAGCTATATAGTAATAAGCAAATGATAAAATAATTGCACTAGACACAGTGTCAGATTGTGTTTACACAATTTTTTAAAGACTATCATGCAAATATTCCAGATTTTCTTTTTGTAAAATTCACTATTATACATTACACTGTAGTCAAATGTGTGTTTTTTAGTTTTTTTATGTTTTTTTTTAAGTATGAAAATCCATTAGTGACCCTTCTTCATAGTTAGTTATTTAACATTGTTTTGGGCATGGACTCTTACCTCTGTAGGAAAACCATTCCATCCAGTGCTTGAAGTCTCGTAGCTTGCAGTCACACTCCCAGGGATTGTCCCCCAGCTGTATATTCTCCAGGCTACTTAAAGGCTCAAAAGTAATACGTTCCAAGCTCTGTAGACGGTTGGAACGTAAGGATAACCAGTGGAGCATTGGAAGGTCATCAAAAAGTCCAGGAGGCAATTGGGAGAGACCATTAAGAGATAAGTCCAATCTGCGTAAAAGGGGTAGTCCTTGCAGGAAATCACGGTCCAGGACACGTATACTGTTATTTCTCAAACGTATTTCTGTAAGATTGACTAGGTCCCCAAAGAGCTGTGATGGTAGCTGATCTAGGAAGTTGTTGGAGAGGTCCAAGCGGTGCAAGGAGCTTAAGTTTGAAAATGTCCCACCCGGTAGAGAACTGAGACGGTTATTGAGCAGCAAAAGGGTCCGAGTGTCTTGGGGTATATCAGCGGGTACAGAGGTTAGTCCACGGCCACTGCAGTCCACCTCCAGGCTGCTGGTGTTGCACTTACAAGAAGAGGGGCAGGAGAGGAGGGTAGAGGCAGCACACATAGATAACCAGCAAACAAGGACTAGGAATAACAATGATTGAAAGGAGAAGAAAATATGGGAAGGATAACACTTGTAAATTGTGGGAGAGAGAAAAAAAACCCACAGATGTTGATGTGATTGGTAGAACAGTAAACGTGAGCATGACGAAATGGTATTATAGATTATGTAGGGAGGAAGAGAGATGTCAAATTGACAAATAGACCAAGAAATAAGGAAAGTGTGAGGGGTCAGATAAAAATATCAATGTTAGTGTTAATACATTTCCTGCGACCTGCAGTTCACAACACTTGATTTAACATAGTAAAGCAAAAACAATAATCATCAATATATCACTAAATAATTTTGAATTATTCAAAGGTGATCCACGTGCAGTAAAATAATCAATAGGCAGATTCGCACTTGGCATCATAATTTAGTAAGGATATTTTGATGTAATTGCACCTCTTGGAGCCACAACAAAGCTCAACTCAGAATAATGTGATGTCACAGAAAAAGAATTGTCAGTCTTTTACAATTAAAGACAGGAACAGGATGAAAAACTAACTGTGGATGCTTAGTCATTATTCTGAGTTATTCTGAGTTGATTGTGTGTCTGCCATCCCCAACTGAGACGTGGCTAGTATATTGTTTATTGCAAATTGTGGACAAAGGAATTGTAATTGATGTATCTCTTTGAATTTCTACATTTGTTGTAGCAGATTTTTTTTTTTTCAACAGACCACACGGTAAACCAACTGAAACTGCAAATTTGGGAACTAAACTATTTGGAAATGTCACTATTTTATATAGAATTTTACCATTTTGACTTCAGTTTATCATATAGCCACACTGATAAACAACGTCATATAAATGGCACACCAGATTCAATTTCCAAATGTACTCGTATACAGATTTCAAGCAAAGATTAGATTTCACGACATACACATTTCACTAATATGAATTGTTAAAAAAATTCAAAGTTAGTTTTGGATTTTAGGCCACAATAGCTGAACTGGAAAGGCCAGCTATATTTTCAGCTCAACTATTTCTGTTTTGTTCCTCTCTATGCCAATTGAGTTCAATATTTTAAGTGTATTAAAGGGACTCTATATTCACCAAAACAATTTTAGCTTAATAAAGCAGTTTTGGTGTATATATCATGCCCCTGCAGTCTCACTGCTCAATTATCTATCATTTAGGAGTTAAGAGTTAAATCACTTTTGTTTCTGTTTATGCCGCAATAGCCACACCTTCCCTGGCAGTGACTGACGCAGCCTGCATGAAAACAAAATGGTTTTATCTTCAAAATGATGTAACTTACTTTAAAAGTTTGTATCTCCTGCTCTGTTAATTGAACTTGAAGTGCATACAGGAGGCTCCTGCAGGGTCTAGCAAGCTATTAGCAGAGCAGGCGATAAGAAATGTTTAATTAAACAGAATTTGCAATAAAGGAAGTATAAACATTAAATGACTATTTACAGGAAGTGTTTAGGAAGGCTTTGCAAGTCACATGCAGGGAGGTGTGACCAGGGTTACATAAACAAGTGATTTAGCAGATAAATGAGCAGCAAGACTGCAGAGGCATGATCTATACACTAAAACTGCTTCATTAAGCTAAAGTTGTTTTGTTGACTATAGTATCCCTTTAAGTATATAGCATTGGATATTAAATGTTGGTCGTTCATTTCTCATCACCTAGAATTCTAACCATTCTAAATTTTGACTGCATGAAAAGTTAGAACATGTAATTGTTTAACATACCAAAAACCAGAGTTTATACATTGTATGCAATACATAAAAATTTAGGCATAGCGGACTTACAAGAAAATTTGTTTAATTGGATTGTTTATAATGATAAAAAAAAAACCCAGAAAAGACACTAGTTGTATTATCTACATTACCTACAGTGATTGAAACTCATGAAAGCAAGTTCAAATTCCAATGGAATCATCTCGACCATCCAACCTTGCTGTGTTGATAAATGAGTACCATTGAGTTGGGTAATAATAACATATGTACCCTAGTTCATGTAAGCTAGGAAAATCTAAATGATAATATTGTTTATTATTATAAGTCACCACATGTAGCTAGTTAGTGAATAGATTAAATGTTTCCCAGATCTTGAAGGCTTTAAATCTTATAAAAAGTGAATGATCAGAAAAGATCACTGTGTCACTGCAACTGTCATGGTGCTAATAGCAAAAACAAAATAGAAAATTACCACAGCAGCAAAAAAATATTTCAGTATTATCCATCATTGTGATTAATGTATCCAAACACTGTGAAACAGCAAGTAAAGAGCCGTACATCTCAGCTGGATGACTTATGGCTGTAAAGAAAAGTTAGGGGAATGGCCGTCTACTATACTGAATTAGTAGTTTCCCTATCAGGAATTCAAAACATATTGCCGATGTGAGCTGTGTGAAAAAGACATGGAGAGCCAAACCTCATCCACAACCTTTCATATCCTTGGGTTTACTGGTCTGATATAAAATGTTTGTAAAAATCAAGGCTATAGTCTTACTATTTGAATTTGTGACATTGCATCCCAGTCTTTGAAATAGTTTTTTACAGGCTGATTGAGAGATCAGATAATAATAATGTTGAAGTGTTTAACTAAGAATGGAACATTTATCTTTTGTTAGTTTTCAAATGTGTCCCAGAGTTAAATGTCTAACTAATTTAATTGGCCTCAGAAGGAAAGAGGGATTGATTCAGTTTGAGACCGTGCCTCTGGAGCTATAACCACAATTAATCAAGATTAACCTCTTAAGGAGTAGGAACATTTCAGGCACTTTATAATACAAAGAGGTTTGCCAATGTTGTGGATGTATAAAGTTCATGCCAACTGCCGCGAATGCACAAGTAAACTAAAGAAGTAAGGGTTAGCCGCTGTAAAGAAATTATTTTGTGTTTGTTCTTAAAAGGACCAAAACAACTTTAGCTTAATGAAGCGGTTTTGGTGCATAGGTCATGCCCCTGCAGTCTCACTGCTCAATTCTCATTCAAGAGTTAAATCACTTTATTTATACAGCTCTAACCACACCCACCCTGGCTGAGACTGACACATGGACGCTCCGAATCATGCAGCACATGTGCATGTGCCATGTGTACAGTACTGCTAGAGTTCTTACATATTTGGCTGGCAAAATATGTAACTTAAAGGGACACTATAGTCACCAGAACCACAGCTTAATGTAGTGGTTCTGGTTTCTATAGCATGTTGAAGCAGTGTTTGCACTGTAGACACAGTTTTGTCAGAGAAAAGGCCATGTTTACATTGATAGCTAGTCACTGTGACCAGTGGCGTACACATGACCTATGGGGCCCCGGTGCGAAAATTGATCCGTCCCTCCCCCCCCCCCTTACTCGGCGCGGGTCGGGGCCGCAACACATTGCGGCGGGCACCTGGTCGCATAGGTTGCAGGGCTGCCACCCCGCGACCGCCGTAAGCACACACACTTAAAGGACCACTACAGACACCCAGATCACATCAGCTCAATTAAGTGGTCTGGGTGCCAGGTGCCAGGCTATGTTTCACTGAGGGTTAATCCAGCCTCTGGTGGCTGTCTCATTGACAGCTGCTAGAGGAGCTTCCGCGATTCTCACTGTGAAAATCACAGTGAGAAGACACTGAACGTCCATAGGAAAGCATTGAGTAATGCTTTCCTATGGGCGGTTTAAATGCGCGTGCGCCTCTTGCCGCGCATGTGCATTCGGAGCTGAGAGGCGGAGGGATCCCCAGCGCCAAGGGAGTCCGACGCTGGAGAAAGGTAAATGCTGAAGACACACACACACTCTCACGAACAGACGCATACACACTAGCTAACAGACACACACATTTACTGACAGAGACACACTCAGCGACAGACATACATACACACTCACTTACAAAACATACACTTTCACTGACAAACACACACTCACTAACAGACATCAAACACACTCAGTAACAGACACACACAGTAACACACTCACTAGCAGACACACACCCAATAACAGACACACTCACTGACACACACACTAACACAAACACACAAACACTAACACACACACACTAACACACACACACATTAACACAAAAACACTAACATACACACACTAACAGACACACAAACACACACTAACAGACACACACACATTTTTTTAAAAATGTTATCCCCCCAGCCTCCTTACCTTTTGGAGAGCTGGGGGGATTCCCTGGGGTCCATTGGTGCTGCTGACCTCGGCGGGCGGTCTGGATGGGTGGCCGGCGCGCGAGGGAGCACTCTCCCCTGTGTGCTTCCTCTTCAGCTCCTTCGCGCGCCGCATAGGGATGCCGGCGCCGGAAGATGACGTCATCTTCCGGCTCCGGTATCAGTGCCGGCCACCCACCCAGACCGCCCGCCGGGGTCAGCAGGGCCAGCCTCGGGGGCGGGGCCCTGAGGTGGCTGCCGCCTGGGCCCCCCAGGAGAAGAGGCTGGCCCTGTGGGTACATACCGGGGTCGCAGGGGCGGCCGGGCCCCCTGGTGGGCCGGGCCCGGATGTAGCCGCGACCCCTACGACCCTGGTATGTACGCCACTGACTGTGACGGCCACTAGAGGTTCTTCCTATCTCAATGCTGCATGGACACACTGAACTTTCCTCATAGAAATGCATTGATTCAATTTTAGTTGGCTAGCTGTTTTTAAAGTTAGGAAGTGATTGTTTCTCTTTAAACACTTTCTAAGACTGTAATGGATGCTCGTAGGAAGTTGGTCCCAGGAACTGGGAATTCCAGAGAAAACATCAGAGAAAAGACAGTGTTTACATTACTGACTAGTAACACCTCTTGTGACAGTCACTCAGACGGACATTGTGTGCAGTGTGTGGGAAAACATTGTATTGTCTGAGATCATCAAGATTGATTATCTCAGTCATGGAGGCAGGGCCAGACACGTGAGATCAGCACGGCGTGGGAGAAAAGGTGAGGACACACTCACTAACTGACAGACACACGCATACTGACAGACTCACACCCATCGACTGACAGACACACACCCATCGACAGACACATACATACATACACATTTTCTCACACACTCACAAACTATTAATAATTTTTATTTCTATTTAAGTCCACCCAGCCTCCTTACCTGGGAGAGTTGGAGTGGATCCTTTCCATGGGGGGGAGCGCTTCTTGCTCTGCTCCCTAGGGGGCTGTTTAGTGATGCCTGGGCCGGAGTGACTTCAAATCCCATCATCACTGGAGGGAGCGCGAGGCAGAGCAAGAAGAGTAGAAAGATAACAGCTCCCTCGCCGCCTTCATGCTCCCATACCAGGCTGCCAGGTTTCACCCTCAGCAGCCTGCTCCGCTGAATGGGCTGATAAATCCCAGGCACCGGGACAAAATTGGCGACTTATTTATTTATTGAGCACTGTGTGTGTGTGTGTGTGTGTGTATGTATATATATCACAAATGGTTAATAATAGCCAAATGATGAAAAAAGGTCTATTTAGCTACCTGTTCTCATCTGACAGTGACCTCCAGACATATAACAGCCTTGGGCACAGCTTTAACGGAGCTCAACCTACGCTAGATTTGGTTCAGTTAAGGCTACTACTTAAACAATGCCCTTGAAGTGTGTTTGCCTGAGGCTTGTTTTCAGAGAGCGCTGATAGCATGGTTGGTGGAGTTGTATGTATAGACTGTCTGCAAACGTATAAACCTTGAGGGATCAACACACTGAATACTGTATAGTTAAGAATGAATCAGCAGGGAAAATCAGCACATTCAACCATTTAACTTGTGTAATGAAACTAACTGGTAACAAGCACTGTTTCATTATTTAAAGGGACATTCTAAGCACCAAATTGATTTTGGTACATAGATGCTGTGCCTTTTTATTTTTGGACAATGTAAAACATTGCTGTGCCTTTTGAATAATTTCAATACACACACACCTTATCTTGCCTCTGTTATTGTCAATACATAAAGAGACTAAGTCTAACATAAAAATCTAGTGTAAATTATAAAATGGAGCCCACAAAACATTTTGTCCGGTGCTAGATGAGATGTGGAACCCCAAAGACCACAATCAATAGAAGGTGATTTAGAACAGATTTGCTTGTTAAAACTCTATCCCCATTCCAATTACATTAGAATTAATATTTCTTCAGAACGTACATATTCATTTCTATGTGAACTCCTCCTTTCCTGGGAAACATACACTGAAGTCTGTAATATATTTTTTCAAAACTAAACAGCCTGAGCAAATTACACACAAAATATTAATCCTTTAACAGCAAGTGTCCATTTATTGACATACCTGTTAAAGAAATTCATTGTTTGTGGTTGCTGCTTGTAAAGGTTGGCCACAAAGTCAGTAAACACTATATTTCATTTTTATTTATTTTTTTAATCTTATTTTTTTGGGGTGGGTTTCCTAATTTGCTTCATTGTCAAAGATTTATAAATATATATGTCAGTGGTTCGTAAGATATTTTAACAGAGACCCAAATGATGTACAAAGCATCAGCCTGGTGTCACATTTGTATTTGTAAAATTATCTGTGTGGCCCATTCTTATTTTTAATGTAATATGTACTGAAATAAATTCAGTTAAAGATGTTGATTAGACTTGTCTCGGTGTCAGAATGGTCTACATTGCATTGAGGAAGGCAGTGCCTGTTCCAATCAATGGGGATGCAGTAAGATGACAAATATTGTAATGACCCAGTCTTTGAAAACCACTGACTTATGCAGTGTTTATTATAAACGCTCTAATTGACCACATCCCTGACACTGAGTGTACCTGACAGAGCAGGTGTTTGTGCTTCCAAAATGTTTTTATTGCAGCTGGGATCATCTCTGAACTCAAGTGACACTGTTTATGGCTATGGTTTAGAGACATCTGGCATGCACAAGTCCTCGTATTCTTTGCCATGTGTTCTAACGCGCTCCGTTCTATTTAACCTATAGATGTACTGTTTAAAAACATACAATTAACCTGATTGGTTTGTATTTATCAGACTTAACTTGGAGCATTAAATATACAGAGTGATTTGTGTTCTTTTAACCTGCTCACACAGTAGGCTGATTAATAATGAAATAGTTATGGAAGAGAGAAACGTATCTTATTGTTCAAGGATCAAACCTGAATATTATATTAGAGAGTGATCGTGCCTCTAACGCATAAGCCTAGTGTGGGGGAATAATATAGTCAAATGCAATTACATATGAAAACCAAATTCATCTGTCTCTCTCTTTCTATACAATTAAATTTTTTCTAGGTGTTAACATAGAATAACTCAGTTATTAACTAAATGGGAAACAATTGGAACAGGGGATTTCTCAGAATTTGGCTATTATGACCCACAATTTGCAACTAACTTTTCAATTCTCCACATACTCAGGTTAGAAATTAAATCAAATTGTTATATGGCTGAACAAATACCTGCAAATCAGAAAATAGATATGAACCACGTTTGGTGTGTAGTTGTTGAAGTGTTTCCTCCGGCTACATATCAATAAAACTCAAAATGGGTTTATTGATTAAACATCAATTGTAGTGACCTGGAATTTTCTTTTTAGAATTCAAGCAAAATAGCCAAGCTGTGACTATAGCTGTCTGGGTTATTCATATAAGGCCGAGTTGTTGCAGGGTCGGACTGGGGATACAAAGCAGCCCTGGAAAAAAAATCTATGCCAGCCCCATAAGTCATTGCACCATATATTGTCGCATGTAATATGTAAGGCTATGTCTTGCCACCCCAGATGATTGAGTAATATCTAAATATATATATATGTATATATATATAAATATATATTGCTTTTTCTAATATAAAATATTGGTCCTTTCAGAGTAAAATGTTTAATTATACAGCAAGCATACTCACATGCAGACACGGCCAATCTCCCTGACACACACAAGCTCTTTGATACACAGCCTCATAGACAAACAATCTCACTGATATACATAAACTCATTGGCATAAAAACGCAAGCTCGCTCACTAACAGGCACACACACACACATGCAAGCAAGCTCACTCACTAGCAGGCACACACACACACCTTAATGTAGTGGTTCTGGTGTATATAGCCTGTCCCTACAGGCTTTTCAATGTAAACACTGACTTTTCAGAGAAATGGCAGTGTTTACATTGCTTCCTAGTGACACCTCTAGTGACAGTCACTCAGACGGTCACTAGAGGTGCTTCCTGTGTCTGTGCTGCACAGTGTGCAGCCCCTACATTCAGGGCCTTCACGCTCTGGAGGCGCTGAACGTTCCCCATAGAGATACATTGATTCAATGCATCTCTATGAGGAGATGCTGATTGGTGTAGTATAGTGCAGCCAATCCGATGGCAGAGCAAGCTTGATGATCTCAGTCATAGAGGCAGGGCCAGTCGAGGGGAGACCAGCATGGCGTGGAAAAAAAAGTGAGTAAAAACACTATTTTTAAACACACACAGACACACACCATGACAGACACACACACACTCCTTGACAGAAACACACACCATGACACAGACAGACCATGACACAGACACACACAACATGACACAGACAGACACACACACACACACTCACATTGACACAATGACACATATTACCTGTGGGCGGCCTGCCAGGGGGTCGTGCAGGGCAGATGTGCCATCATATTCCGGCCACGGTCGCATTAAGCTGTGCGCTGGGGAGCAGAGACAGCACTGCTCCCACTGCTGCCGCCATTACACTCCCCCAGCGACCGCCATCACACCCAGGTGTCTGCCCGGCCCCAGGTGCCGACAGCCCACCAGGAAACTTCCCGGTATTCTTGTGGGCCAATCTGGCCCTGGTTGTTGGGAATTCAAAATGAATTAAAAGTACATTTCTAATTTCAGACCAAAATAGCTGAACAGAAAACATTGCTGATTAGGACATTTTTTCTGACTTGGCTATTCTGGCCTAAAATTTGAATTCCTGGCAATTCACACTTTAGTAAATAACCCTGTTCAACTTCACTAAAATTTGGTGTTTAGCAAATAAACTCAAAAGTATTGTGCGTATAAAATGCAGGGAATGTGTTTAAGCATTTACCTGTGTAAGTAAACTATATTGGTCTTGGCTTGCTCTAAAAATGTTCTAATTATGTAATGATTATCAGTACATTATACAGCTGTATGAAATGTTCAGGATTAACCCCTACACCTTGATTTTCAGAACATTTGGGCAGTGTTTGTTGTGGGTGAGCTGAAGCAAAAGTTGAATGTAATTCAAATACTAGTTGTGCAAACAAACTGTAGCAATCAGTTACACAGCTGCATTAATAGTCTTTTATTATCTGTCTCCTTGTGTGATGCAGCTTTTGCAGAGAGGGCACAATTAGTGATAATGTATGGCAGAATAATAAGGGTAAGCTGTGCCAAGAGCAACTGCCCTCTTTGGGCATTGAGACAATTTCCTTCATTATCTGCAGAGGAATGCAGGGTGTCTGGCAGCAGATGGCATGATTGAGATAGGGAGACGCCAGTGACAGTTCAGTGGGAGTCAGACGTTTATAATTTCAGCGCTGGTAGGCAGCTGAAAGCTGATCTGTGCATATGAAATGAGAACGGCACCCAATCCCCTATGCCTTCTTTTTAAATAATTCACACTGCAATAACTGGAGCTGAAACAGGAGGGATCATCTCTGGCGCTGCTACCACCCACTCCAAGGGAGTCAGACCCCACCTCTCCCTTTCTACTGATCTAGATTTAAGAAAGTAAATGGATCAGTGAGCAAACTGAAGGGCAAACTAGTTTGACAGGCACATGAAGACGATTATAATGGCACAAAAATGAAGAGCACATGTTGCTTTGTGTATTTATTTCACTGCTACGGAGTTGAGCAGTGCCCATCTCCGACAGTTAATGGGTCAAAACACAGGATTAAAACTTTTTATAATATTGTTTCTTTTACTTTAATGTTAAAAAATATATATGTCGCTGTTATCGTTTAAAAGAAGCATTCATTCCCATCACATATAAAAAAGTTCAAATTTTTTATGTATTGTTTGAAAACATTTTGGCAATGTGACACCTGCAAAGCGCTCTTCACCAAAAATGATTCAAAATCTGCTATTCTGCCAGATTTTGCAAATCTACCATCAATTAACATTATTTAATTGCAGATCACTATTTAATAAACTCTTTTGTCATTTCAGTTTCCCTTTTCAACACTTTTAATGTCTCTTGTTTATGACCCAAGATGATCAATGCAAACCAAAATAATATTAAAGGGACACTATAGTCACCAAAAAATTTTAGCTTCATAAATCAGTTTTGGTGTATAGATCATGCCCCTGCAGTCTCTCTGCTCAATTCTCTACCATTTAGAAGTTAAATCACTTTGTTTATACAGCACTAGATGTGACTTACACAGCTTGCCTAAACACTTCCTGTAAAGAGTCATCTAATGTTTGCACTTCCTTTATTGTACATTCTATTTAATTTATAATTTCATATCTCCTGGTCTGTTAATAGCTGGCTAGATCCTCCAGGAGCCGCCTGTGTGTGATTAAAGTTCAATTTGCAGAGTGGGAGATAAAAACTTTTAAGTAAATTACATCTGATTGAAAATGGAACCATTTTGTTTTCATGCAGGCTCTGTCAATCACAGTCAGGGGAAGTGTAGCTAGGGCTACAGTAACAAAAGTGATTTAACTCCTACATGGCAGAGAATTGAGCAGTGAAACTTCAGAGGCATGACGTATACACAAAAACTGCTTCATTAAGCTAAAGTTCTTTTGGTGAGTACCGTGTCCCTTTAATTTTAGTTTTGGTCCATGGACAGATTGTTAGGATAATATAATACACAATTTGCTGGGCGTATAAACTTGTAATACATTAATGAGTGTGATCCTGGAATATAGAAATCAAATCTATAAAGGAAAAAATTGAAAAGCTTGGGGTTGTATATATATATATATAATTGCTCCAGCTGGGCTTGTAAATCAAAATTATTTTATCTTATTTTTATGTGTTCCTGTGTGGTCTGTATGAAGCTGCGTAATAGACCTTTATACAAAGGGGACACAATTTTCTAATTTTGACTTTTCATACAGCACAGAGAAAGTCATATGTGAGATCTGACAAAATGGTGCACTTTTCTGTAACTATCCAACTGTAACAATACCTAAACTGTAATTAGATAACCTTTTCATTTTTGTGCTGGAGCACTGGTGCCTTGTCTGGAGGCAATTATAATCTAAATAGTCTAGTGTTCCGTATTAGAACACTGTGCAACCAATAAAAGATGAACAAAGTGTAAACGCCATCTCTGACTGGCAATTTAATGCGTATTTCTCACTCCGAATCCATGACATTCTGGTTACAGATTATCAAACCATGTCAGACAGGATCAGTCACTAAACTGTGAATTTTACTGAATTAAATCTGAATGGCAAAATGGCACAAATAGCTGTCCTGGGAGAATTTTCCAATTCTACTCATATAGTATGGCTATTTTAGCCAAAATATTGCTATTGAGCTATTTCAGTGTTTAATGAACAACGCTGATGGAATGATGGTCCTATATAGGGCAAAACCAGTGGGCACCCACCTTGTGTCCCTGGTAATTCCACTGGGAATACAAATATTTGTTTTTTGACTGCTGCATGTGCCAAATCTTGCATTCCCTGACAATGTCAGTGACACCCTTTTTTATGTTGGATGTAGAGGAGGAGGCTGTCTGCATTTTAGTGTTCTGCTTCAAAGTGAATAAGCCTGAGCTATATGAATCTTTCATTAGATAAATGATTAGCTGTTTCTCTTTAATGCTCCATTTCCTCTCCGGGCTTCTGATAAATGGATCTGACTTAAGGGAGACTATTCTTGAAGGAATGCTTGTTTTGTTAACCAGTAAAATGCCACAAAGTCACAACCATGCCAGTAAGTTCATGTTTTTTAACATAATACCTCCCTGATTAGTTAGAACAAAGCTGTTATTTAATCTCTCACCATAACAGAAACAATTGAATCATTTACTGTATATACTGTAAGTATATAGGACATCACAGGTAATCAGGAACACTTACTTCATCGCCCAATGATACTCCAAGCATGCTTAGGCATCTATAGAGAAATGCTGTCTGAATACATGCCATGCATGCATGGGCATTCTTGCACGTTGCATGGTAATGTGAGGGTCAAAAAAAATTAAATTAAAACTATTTACATTGTAAAATCTACACATAGCTGACTTCTAGCTGTGAAACCTCAGGATGTGGGGGGGGAAAAAAAACTTACATGGCACTGATGGTCCTATATTAGGTCAGTGGCGCAAGTGTCTCGCCAAAAATGATCTACACTTCCCAAGATAGATTGTGAAACTAAACAATTACAGTTGCAAGAAAAAGTATGTGAACCCTTTGGAATGATATGGATTTCTGCACAAAATGGTCATAAAATGTGATCTGATCATCATCTAAGTCACAACAATAGACAATCACAGTTTGCTTAAACTAATAACACACAAAGAATGAAATGTTGCCATGTTTTTATTGAACACACCATGTAAACATTCACAGTGCAGGTGGAAAAAGTATGTGAACCCCTAGACTAATGACATCTCCAAGAGCTAATTGGAGTGAGATGTCAGCCAACTGGAGTCCAATCAATGAGATGAGATTGGAGGTGTTGGTTACAGCTGCCCTGCCCTATAAAAAACACACACCAGTTCTGGGTTTGCTTTTCACAAGAAGCATTGCCTGATGTGAATGATGCCTCGCACAAAAGAGCTCTCAGAAGACCTACGATTAAGAATTGTTGACTTGCATAAAGCTGGAAAGGGTTATAAAAGTATCTCCAAAAGCCTTGCTGTTCATCAGTCCACGGTAAGACAAATTGTCTATAAATGGAGAAAGTTCAGCACTGCTGCTACTCTCCCTAGGAGTGGCCGTCCTGTAAAGATGACTGCAGGAGCACAGCGCAGACTGCTCAATGAGGTGAAGAAGAGTCCTAGAGTGTCAGCTAAAGACTTACAAAAGTCACTGGCAAATGCTAACATCCCTGTTAGCGAATCTACAATACGTAAAACACTAAATAAGAATTGATTTCATGGGAGGATACCACACAGGAAGCCACTGCTGTCCAAACAAAACATTGCTGCACGTTTACAGTTTGCACAAGAGCACCTGGATGTTCCACAGCAGTACTGGAAAAATATTCTGTGGACAGATGAAACCAAAGTTGAGTTGTTTGGAAGAAACACACAACACTATTTGTGGCAAAAAAGGCACAACACACCAACATCAAAACCTCATCCCAACTGTGAAGTATGGTGGTGGGGGCATAATGGTTTGGGGCTGCTTTGCTGTGTCAGGGCCTGGGCGGATTGCTATTATCAAAGGAAAAATGAATTCCCAAGTTTATCAAGACATTTTGCAGGAGAACTTAAGGCCATCTGTCTACCAGCTGAAGCTCAACAGAAGATGGGTGTTGCAACAGGACAAAGGCCCAAAGCATAGAAGTAAATCAACAACAGAATGGCTTAAACAGAAGAAAATACGCCTTCTGAAGTGGCCCAGTCAGAGTCCTGACCTCAACCCGATTGAGATGCTGTGGCATGACCTCAAGAAAGCGATTCACACCAGACACCCCAAGAATATTGCTGAACTGAAACAGTTCTGTGAAAAGGAATGGTCAAGAATTACTCCTGACCGTTGTGCACGTCTGATCTGCAACTACAAGAAACGTTTGGTTGAAGTTATTGCTGCCAAAGGAGGTTCAACCAGTTGTTAAATTAAAGGGTTCACATACTTTTTCCACCTGCACTGTGAATGTTTACATGGTGTGTTCAATAAAAACATGGCAACATTTTATTCTTTGTGTGTTATTAGTTTAAGCAGACTGTGATTGTCTATTGTTGTGACTGATGATCAGATCACATTTTATGACCAATTTGTGCAGAAATCCATATCATTCCAAAGGGTTCACATACTTTTTCTTGCAACTGTATCTCAGTGATTATTGTCTCAATTGGCTTATCATGTGTATTAAAATAACTTCTGCAAAACGCCTTCATTAGATTTTTCACAGAGTCAAGTGGGATTTTAGTTACTGTGGAAGACAATGAGAAAGATCTATCAAAGTGTTCTCAATAATGTTAGAGGCATGGAGTCATCAGTGGTCACCACATCTAAAGCCAGCCTGTGCCTAAACTTCATTGCATTTGATACACATAAAAAAAGAAAATTACAAAAAATAAAACAATTAATAGCTAGTTTTTAGTGTCATAGTGCTGGTAATTCCTGATTTTAGTTGTTTTGTGCTCAGGTTTGGGATTTTGTGAGAAAATATACATTTTAAAGAAGACTTGTGAATAGACTCATTATTTTCCCTTTGTGAAAGGATTCTTTCCGGGTTAAAAAGTCTTTAGCATATTTTTTACTGATTTTGAATAAGCTGCTCTGCACAGATGCTAGTGATGCTGAAAGGTAAAAAGGAAATTGAAGAAGACCAAAAAAATCACAGACATCTTATTTAAATAATTTTTGGGCTTATGTGAGTATGTACCATGCTTCATAGCACAGGATGGGAATGTATGAACCCGAAATTTTCAGACAACCTAATCCAGTCTCCCGAGTTGATTACAGATAGATACCCATCAAGGAGTGTTTGGGTACAGTTTGGTTTTAGCCAAATAGCAGTAGTGTCAACATGGAGAGTCCAGTCCACTATTTAACCTATTGTGCAAGGCAACAAATTGCTTTGAGACATCTTTTGTATTGACTTATTTCTCGCCAATGTACCAAGCAGAGATCAGCAGTAAGACAAGTTGGAACTGAAGACTTTAGAAACCAGATACAACCTTGGTACTGACCAACTTAAAGTATAACAAGTAGGAACTATGCACTGGTCTGTCTATGTAATATAATATAATGCCAATTTGCCTGACATTGATTTAACTTACTGTGGACATTAAAATACAAATGTATATAAACGTACACTGATGCCTTGTTTCCACTGAGCGGATCGGTTCAGGTCGGTACAGTTTGGAAGGTTTAGAATGGTCCAGCCCATTCTGGTGAGCATTTCCACTGCAAGTCAGACCTTCAGGGGCCATGCGGGGTTTATAAAAAATGCTCTTCCTGTCCACCAATCAATGGATTGTATAGTAGCTCCGCCCTAACCGAACCATTCCATTTCCTATGGCCCTGCATCTGAAGCAGGACACTGAATGGATCGGTACGGTTCGCTTATATGGACCACTTTCATAATGGAAACACCCAAAATAGCGAACCATACCAAACCGAACCGATCCGCTCAGTGGAAATGAGGCTATATGTCTGACAACTGCATAAAACAAAGTAGCTTGAAAATCATCCATCATCTACTTTTCTTTATCTGTTGGGAATTCTGTGAATCTGCAACTGAAGTATTACCTTTGGCAGCAGATTATTTAATTATGTTACTTTTACCATAACATCACATTTTGATCTTTATTTGATTCAGTTACACATTTAATGAATCTTTTCTATATCTAATACTTTAAAAGTAGTTATTATAATATGAATACTTGTCCAGTTATCATCTTATTGTTATTTAAAAATTCCTGATAATAAATAATAATCTGATTAAATAATTACCAATCTTAATGTTGCTGTCAGTTTGTTTAAAGGGGGTACTAAAGGCAACTTAGACCACTACATCTGAATGAAGTAATCTGGGTGCAGTGACCCTCTCTTTTCAAGCTTGGGATATAAAACAGTGCTGTTATGTAGGAATGGCTAGAGACTCTTCTTTTACTATAAGTGAATCAAAGTCCGTTATAGAACAAATGCTAATTGTTTAGCTGCAATAAAGTATTTGATTGATGCAGCATAGCATTTTGTCACAAATGTGCTCTAGCCTTCCATTGCTACTGTATGGATGAGATCATCAATCTTGCTTCATTGAGCTCCCTACCCTGTACTTCACATCCATGGTAAACCACCTGGTCCTGCGTCTGGTTTCTGCCATTACTGTATTTTCCTTCTGGTTGTTATGTGGAGTCCTGCACGGCTTCTTTTCCCCCTCATTCCTATATTATACTTTCCATCACACTTCTGCAATAACATATTAACTTGCCTTCTCTCTCTCCCCCATCATTCAGCATCTGCTGCACCTCTATGCAAGTCCATTCACCAGCTTCCCATTCACAGCAGAATTAAATTAAAAATTCTCACTCTGACATGTTTACCAAATCCACTCCCCACTAATCAACAAATATACTCCAGCATGCCGCTAAGATGCAACAATGACCAGATCCCTGCATTTTCTATTATCACCATGGTAGGCTGCAGGGCTTCTCTCATGCACACCAACCCTTTGGTGGTAGAATATTCCCTAGTTTGCTTTCATTTAAGCACACTTTAACCCCTTAAGGACACATGACATGTGTGACATGTCATGATTCCCTTTTATTCCAGAAGTTGGGTCCTTAAGGGGTTAAAGACATTCATGTTTAGGGAAGCCTTTAAACTCAATTCTCAACTCTTTAATTTGCACTTTATACTGAACCAATATATGCCCTCAACTCACTCTGTATTAACATCATTCTCACCTTTGCAGTCCCCATCTACTATTTCTCACCCCTCCCATCCAACTAGATTGTAATTAACTAAAGAAAATAAGGGCTTCAGCTATTCTAGTGTTTGTCGAACTTTGTATTGGCTGATTTATTGTACCTTTGTCTTTTTACTTGTACCGATTGTACCCATGTATAGCGCAGAGAAATGTGTAACTGCTTTGTAAATTAAGTAGAATAATAATAGGAGTTTAAAAACTGCCTATGCTTTGCAATGTTTATTTTGTCATGGTTTAAATAAATACTGAAACCACTGTTATAATTTCCTGGTGAATTCCCAGTTTATTGAAAATCAATAACTTTGATTGTGTAGCTCTTGGTCTGGCACATAGGTAGTTAATCCATTTATAATAATAACGTGTGGGAGTTTGCATGTCTGATAATTCATTTCAACTATTGCAGTGCATAGAAATGCATTAGATAGTTGAAATGAATTATAAAATACAAAAATTCATACTTGAAAAGAAGGCACATCTCAAGGTATCATTTCTGAAATACACAATGTCTTTTATTAAAGCAAAATGGAGCAATTCTGGAGGAAATGAGTAACTGTTAAAAATACTTGTATGATCATTGCAGCCTTTGCTTGGACTTAGAACTTTGCTCAAAATGTATTTCCCTTGTACAGCCTACGGTAATGTTTTCATATGGGAGAAGAAAAGCTGGACGGCTACATTACAGCAGGACACAGCATGTTTCTGAATGACGTGTTGTATCCAGACAGTTAATGAATATTATTAGATGGATAAAAAAAGAAAGGGAGAAATGTGACAAGAGCTGAAAGTGACACATTTCATTCCCTCACATCATTTGTGTTTTTAGCCCAATCGCAAGGTGTTGATGAGGATGAAAGAATGGAAAGATGGCTGTTTAAAGAGGGCAAACTGTAGCTCTCTGGCTTTTGTTGAATTGTGACTCAGCTCATAGTACTCTTAGCCAGCTGTATGATTGGTTGGAGCTGTTCTAGGTTGAGAGCTAGAGGTCATAGGTGGACAAAACTAACAGCCAGAAGGGACATGGTTCAATGTTTTACAGGCAGTATTTTACTTGTGTCTTCACAAACCATGCAATGTAAAGGAGGGGCAAGCATTTCGTAGGCCATGTGTTATTCTAATTTGTAATTAAGTTGAGATTTGCACTTGAGATGATCTCAGTTTTCCTTTCGCATTCAATTATGGTACACCAGCGGCTCCCAAACCGTGTGCTGGGGCGCCGCGACAGGCACACATGGGAGCCGGGAAAATAGAGATATTTTCCCGGTGCTATGATGATAGCACCAGGAACCGTGCCTCCCTCTCCCCTGCCGGATCTGCAGGACCGGAAGGGAGATTAGAGATCTCCCTCTATGGCCCGCTAGCAATGTAATGCTGCAGTTGGCAGGGGAGGGAGGGAGGTCTCAGGGGAGCTTTAACCTGCAGCTCCATTGGGTTCTCCTCTCGTGAACTCGGAGTGTTCCCATAGCAATGCTCCAAATCTTGCCAGAGTGAACTCTAGCAGCTCCTGAGGCTGCTAAAGTTCACTCTCACCACTGGGACCACCAGAGCTTCCCCACCGGACCACCAGGGATTGCCTTGTACTGTCCTCCCTCTCAGGCAAAGGTAAGAAGGGAGGGGAGATATGAAAATAATAATATATATATTGTTTGTTTGTTTTTTTTAAGCGTTATCCTAAACAGTGAAAAGATTTTATAGACGCTTGTTAGAAAGGCACAATGAATGGCATCAGAAGGGGGCAGCCAAATGAGAGCCTTCTCCTTTTGGAGCAGAGGGTCCTTACAAATAAAAAATAGGAAACATGGAAAGTGGTGGAGAGGCTAGGCATGACCTTACAATGATATATCGAGTTGTGACTGTTCTTTAGAGGCACTCTCTTTCCAACATTTCTTACCCCAAATGTGAGGTAGGGAGGTTGTATGAAAGACAGGAAGTCAACTGAAAGTGCATCATGGAAGAACTCACTCATGCACAAGAGCTACAAATGTTCTAACATGTTCTACCGTGTTTTATACACATATTTGTGTGCTTTAGTGATTTTCTGTTTTGTTAAAGGATGTGCTTGGGATGAGCAAGAGGCTTGCTTCACTGGGCTGCACACAACAAAATGGCAAATACAATAGCATTCTTAGCAGGAAACTTTCTAGGTCTAACACAGAGATTGCAGACTTCTACATCCTCTGGCTATGGATGTGGCATGCACATTACGGGTAATAATGGGCTAAGCAATTTCATTGTAGAATTTGTGTGGTGTGATGATGAGTCAAAGGGCTGAATTTACATATCAGGTGCGTAGAGGCACAGAAAAGAATTACAATATACATATTCATATTTGATAAGTGCATGTCTATATGTATGTGCATATTCCTACTTGCCATGTATTGTGTTTGAATCTGTGAGTATATGATAATATTATAAGTAGTTAGGGTAAAGTGAGGTTTAAGGTTAGAGAGGGGTTACTTGCATTATATATGGTGTTATGAAGATTAAACACTTGAGAGGGGTCTTAGTTGTGGCAGAAGTGGTGTTTAGGATTATAGGGTCTAGGGTTACAGTGGGTGTAACACATGGGGTGTTTACCTTAATCCTAAATTTACCTCCTCTTAAAGAGGCACTGTCATCGTCTGGGGACTTTGCAAAATTTGAAAAGACCCCCAATGGTGACATCGCCACTGGTGGTTCAGTGGCCGGGGGGGCAGGCAAAGGTGAGTTCTACTTAACTGAACCTGTCTCTTGTGGGCACCACCATCTTTTCCCGGTGGGTCCTCTTCAGCTACGCTAGGAGCTGAAATCACTGCTGAACACTCTCGCATGCGTGAGAGTACAGCATTGAGTTCTATGGAGGATCCTGCAAGACTGCAGGATCCTCCATAAATAAAGTAAATTCCCTGCAGCCATCTCTGGTGAGGGCTGGGGTGGATTTACACTTCTAGACGGCGGTAGCTGCACCTAGTACCTAGAAGTGTCAGACATAGTGTCTCAGGATATCTCTTGGCTGGGTTCGAATTTCAGTGAAATACCAACACAGTCAATAAGAGAATCTCATAAAGATTCTACCTTTATAAAATAAAAATTTTTTTTAGTAACTTAAGAGGTTTTTCAGTACTTTGAGTGCTTACATTTGGAACTAAGGAAAGGGTTTGTGTAGGTTTTGAGAAGTTAAATGTAGGGTTAAAGGAGCACTATAGGGTCAGGAACACAAACATGTATTCCTGACCCTATAGGGTTAAAACCACCATCTAGCCCCTCAAGTCTTTTTCTCTGAAAAGACCATGTTTAGAGCAAAAAGCCTGAAGGTAATGATTCTACTCACCAGAACAAATTCAATAAGCTGTGGTTGTTCTGGTGACTATAGTGTCCCTTTAAGAAAAAAAATGTATTTACATAAAAATAACAATTGCAATATTTACACTTTTCAGAGTAGTAATGGTAAACTAGTTCACTATTTTAGTTAGATCCCATGAACTTCTCGATGTGTCATATTCCTGATACTGTATGCAAAAGCAAATTAACACCTTTTTCCAGTAAACCTTTTTTTTTTTTTTTTTGGTTAGAATTGTTCACTTGTGTAAAACCAATTGAGTCATCTATATCTATAATATTAATTGAAGAAACAAAATAAAGATTGGAAGGATTCTTTAATGACAGTAAGCAGTTTGATTACCCATGAGATCTGCTGCACAAAATGCTTTAAAGTAGGCATTTTGATGAAACTCTAGTTTAGATTTTTTACAAAAGTTATCTTTTTTTATAAGTATGTGACATAATCAATAGCTGTGGCCCTTTACAACCATGGTAATATCCAGCAACAGTAGGAGTTCTTTCATGACAATATTTTGTCACCTTTCCGCATTTTTTATAACATTATTATTGTGATAGCTGTGCTGTGTTGCTGTGGGTGTTTTGAAAAAAAAGGAAAAAAAACTTGAATCTTACTACTTTGTTTCTCTACTTCTGGAATGCAGTATAAAGTATCACTATACAGCCCTATATATGGCTTTGGATTATATGTATTATGCACCTAGCAATCTTTTTTCACTTCTACAGTAGCGTGACTTGACTATTTGAATATTTGGACACTTGCCATACATCTTACCTAAAGGGACACTATAGTCACCAAAACAACTGTAGCTTAATTTTTAGTTAGTCTAGTTAGTTTTGGTGTACAGATCATGACCCCCTAGCTGTAACTGAAACGGCCTGCATGAAAGAAAATGGTTTTGTTTTCAATCAGATGTTAACTTGTTTTACACGTTTTTATCTCCTGCTCTGTAAATTTAATTTTAGTCACACACAAGAGGCTACTTCAGGGTCTAGCAAGCTATTAACAGTGCGGTAGATAAAACATTCTAAATTAAACAGACTGTGGTATTCAGGAAGTTAAACATTAGATGTCTCGATGTCTCTTTAGAGGAGGTGTGACTAGGGCTGTATAAAAATGTAACTATTAAATGGCAGAGAATTGAGCAGTGAGAATGCTATGATATATTCACCAAAACTGCTTCATTAAAGGACCACTCTAGGCACCCAGACCACTTCAGCTTAATGAAGTGGTCTGGGTGCCAGGTCCTTCTAGGGTTAACCCATTTTTTTATAAACATAGCAGTTTCAGAGAAACTGCTATGTTTATGAATGGGTTAAGCCTTCCCCCTAATCCTCTAGTGGCCGTCTCATTGACAGCCACTAGAGGCGCTTGCGTGCTTCTCACTGTGATTTTCACAGTGAGAGCACGCAAGCGTCCATAGGAAAGCATTGTAAATGCTTTCCTATGAGACCGGCTGAATGCGCGCGCAGCTCTTGCCGCGCGTGCGCATTCAGCCGACAGGGCGGAACGGAGGAGGAGAGAAGGAGGAGAGCTCTCCGCCCAGCACTCGAAAAAGGTAAGTTTAAACCCCTTTCCCCCTTCCAGAGCCGGGAGGGAGGGGGACCCTGAGGGTGGGGGCAACCTCAGGGCACTATAGTGCCAGGAAAACGAGTATGTTTTCCTGGCACTATAGTGGTCCTTTAAGCTAAAGTTGGTTTAGTGACTATAGTGTCCCTTTAAATTCTATCCACACATAACTCATCTTACCCCCCCCCTCCCCCCCCCCCACACACACACACATTTTGTTGGTTTGTGGGTAACCTTTCAAAAGCAGGTTTCAGTTGGTTTCTGTGTTACTTCAAGTAAAGGAGTTAGGGAAACCCTGTTATTTCATGACAGTCCAATCACATCATCTGCCATGAAAAGGTAATGGTTAGTCCCAGAAATTGTTGACACTTTATTAATACATTGTGTGAATAATACATCTGAATTTGTCATTTTGGCCAACATTTTGCAAGTTGTTTGGAAGAATTATAAGTCATGGCTTAAACTATGGCTTTAGTTGATAAACCCCTTATTGTACAGTTTAACTATATTTTACAATCCAGTGCACTCAGAAACTGAAAACATCTTATTTATTCTATCTGCTCGTTAAATTCCATTAATAAAAAGTTCATTTTACCTAAATTACTAAAAATTAACATTTTCTGTGCCTGGAAAATCCAATGGACAATTCTGTGTTACGCATGAAGCCCATAGGGCTTGGAAATGCAATTACTTACACATTCCGTGTGCCCATCTGTGGGGAAAACGTTTTCGTAACGCACGCATCCTGCCCTCACTCACACTGTGCCCTGGAGTGGATCACTTTACATGGGTCACTCTGTGTGGAATACAGCTCAGACGAAACACAGGAGGCAGCCAGCCCTGGGAGAGCAAAGAGACAAGGCTGTTAGTCTGCAGGGTCCTGTAATAAGAGATACTCGCGTGTATCCACCTGCCTGCAACTTGTTGCCCATCCCACCTCCTCTACTAGACAGTCAGGCATCTTGCCAAACAGCTGCTTTCTAGAAATAATGCAAACGTGGAAAGAAATTCAATAAGTATTCTAGATACCTTATTGTTTCGTGCTGTGTCCCAATTGTCTGCCTGTGCAGCACCTCTTTCCTCTCTAAATATATTATGTAACATTACATTGTTTTGCAGAATTTGTTGGTGCTATATAAAATATAAAGTCTTCAAACACTAATATATATTATTTATATCTGTGATGGCAAAGATTAGCATTGTGCGTGTTTTGGAACTACCTTTCCAATAATGCTTGTAAATGTAATGGGAGTAAAAGTTGTTGATATCAAATCACAGGTATACAGCACTCACTCATAAACCATGATTGATTAACCTGCTGATTTCATATACAGATTTACAGAGAGAAAAATACATCAACAACCATGGCGTTTATAAAAACTGCTATATAGTAATGATGATCACATATTTTGGGACATAAAATATATATTTTTTTTAAAAAGCAGCTAAAAATCACCTTGTCTAAATATGTCATTTTGGCCAAATAGTATCAGAAGGCAAGTGGCCAGATAGATAATGCCCATCTCTCCCAATGGCTAGATGACATTTAGTCCACAAACTTGGGGTGATTTTAGGAGAATAAATGGCATATTTCACAGATAAATGGGGTTCTTTTGAGATAACAAGGGTGAGGTAATGGTTGATCATTGTCCTGCTGACAAGTGCAGTAGGCATGTTTTGATGGAAGGATGCTAAACTTGTCCAATTCTGGCATCACAGTAGAACACGTAATAATATTTGTCATAAAGTCATTTAGAATTTGATACCAGCATGTTTATATAATGTCTAATTATAATGCTTGGCACTGTAAAAAGTACCATTCTTGTTTTTTAAGGATCTTATTCTGAAATGGTATTTTGAGATATCTGAGCTTTGAAGAGCTGGCAGACCTAAAAAAAGAATATTATATGCTGGTCTAAGGCCTAAAGGAACGATCGGATGTCATTAAAGTCTATTCCTTAAGGCATTAGAGAAATAAGTGAGCACAGCCAACCCTGTGGCATTCAAGACGTATTGGGTAGAGGACAATAACAGTTGAAGCATCCAAAAGACTTTAGTAAATTTCAATCCTTCAATCCTGGCACCCATATAAACCACATGTAGCAGTATTATTTATTAGTATTAGCAGTATTTGTGAAATCCAAGTCAACAGTGGATAAAAATTCTAATTTAATTTTAATGATATTCTGTTGCTGGGACTGTGTGATAAGAAAAATAGAAATGATGGCTTCGTCCACTATATAGTTATCCGATACACGGTGAAACATTAAATGATAGCTTCATAGAATAGTGGTACTGCTGCTGATTTTGTATCACAGAGTGGGGAAGATACTGTACCCAGTGCCTGCTATAAACATATAAGATTTATACCTATCTTTCCATTGCACATTGCGGGAACACACTTTATAAAATATGCTTAATGTTTCCCGGACTTGATTATCCATCTAGCTCAGGGATGTAATCCAGGATGAATTAGAGGCCCTTAGAGTTGGTTTAAATAGCTGCTTAAAGTGGCACGTTGCAGATAGCATCTACTCCTGACCATGCCAAAATACAAGGCTTTAGAGACATACTTTTTTTTCCCAACTCTGTTTTGTCGATGTTGGTACCAAGATCTTTCTATCTAGGTATACAGTTACTGTGGTTATGTGCTGAATTACCTAGAAAATCCATTGGGTACTCATATATGCAGAACTCTGAGACATATGTTCAATGTACATTTGGAACAGTAAACATTATCGGTATGCATCGTAGCTCTTTACAGTGAACCCCAGGGCAACAACTTCTCCTTTCTATTCCAATCCAACACATTTTTTAAAGGAGGACTAAAGGAAGAAAAATGGAAAGTAAAGAGAAGGAGCAGGAAGAGGTATCTGTTGTCCATAGTTTATTTGTTTTCATTTTTAATTTGCCGTGGGCTTCTTCCACTGACTTTTCATGATGGCCCCTGAGAGGGTTAGATGCCGCTTTAGATGAAGTGTATAAAGGAAGTTAAATGATTAATTTAATTTCATCAATTGATTTTGACTTACTGTTTGTACTTTGAGTGTTGCGCTGTGTAATTCAGTTCTGTATGTTTTGTCAGTGAACAGAGGTTTGTCTGTATTTGAGTTCATTTTATGATTGTCAGATCACTATTTTAATTCTTTAAGTCTGTTTTGCGTAAAAAGGAAAGTGCAGTGTTTAGTTAACGTTTTTATTTATTTATTTTATGCACAACCTGAATTAATTGATTTTATAGTATTTATTCTAGGATTTTTCTGTAAACGTGGTAGTGGTGCTATAATGTAACTGCATTACAATTAATTATATAGAGCCACCATATTCCGCAGATCTGTACAATAGGTAAACAAGCCCATTCCTTCAGTGAGCAAGCCTGATGCCCACCCTCCCCTCCCCACACTATCCCACCCCATGCTCATTATTACATTTATAGATTGTCTGTCACACCTACATTTTAGTTAGGTTAAAAAAAACTGCCTCTTATTAGTACACTCCTGCACTTTCTTAACCCATAAAACACCTTCACCTGCTCTTGATATTCCAATTATCTCCAATTTCTATTTTTCACAGTTTAGCGATGATCTGTTTTCTCCTCCTCTTTATTTCCTCAGTCTCCCTCAGTATAAAAATCTCTCCTTACACTCACTTCACTCATCCCCCCCATCCATTTATCTCTCTCTCTCTCTTTGGGATAACATGAGGCAGAGACAGCGAGGAAGTGACATTTTGTGTGCAGGCATATGATAGAGCCGATCTACTGAATTAAAAAAAAAAAACCTGATCTTTTAAAATATACTACAAATAAATATCAATGTCATGGTGTGCGGTTCAATAGGGTAAATTAGTGGTTCCCAAAATTTTTAGGTTCAAGGCACCTTTAATATTTCAATATTTTTCCAAGGCACCGCAAGTCAAAATTTCTAGGCTGTATATCTGTACAGAGCTGTGGCATTTACTGGCGCTCTAGTGTAATGTACAGTGTTGGTGTTTGAAGAGGTACTTGTAAAAAGTATTTGTGTCTTAATATAGGGGTGTGTTTGTATGTTATGTTCGCTTTTAAATGTGAGTGTACATTTGTGTGAAGTATTTGTGTTTAAGTGAAGGGTTGTGTTTGTATATCATTTTGAAGTTTGAATGCAGGGGTATGTTTGTATTTAATATTTGTGTTAGATTGCAGTAGTGTGTTTGTTTGTTGTGCTGGTGTATGACTATTTGGATGTATGCACATACACTACCACATACATACATACTTACACAGGTATACATAAACAGAAATTCATATAGACACTGACACATACACACACATAGATACACACCGACTCATACACACACATATATACACATTGACACATACCTTAACACACGCATACACCAACATATATACACGCACCCTGACACACACAAACATTGATACGTGCATACACCATGATACAGATACATACACTGACATAAAACACACACACAATGACACACAGATGCACATTCACAGATGCATATCCTGACACACAGATGTGTGAACACACAGACACACACTGACACAGAAGCACACTGACATATATACACACAAACACAGATGCACACCCTGACACACACTCATACACACTCATGTCACTTCCTCCCAGCCGGCCGACGTTACTGAAACATTCCGCGGCACCCCTGTGTGCCTGTCACAGTTTGGGAACCGCTGGGTTAAATGTATGTTTTATGTGTTGCCAGGAGTCCCCTAGAACCATACCATTATAATGAGTCAAACTGTTGTTGAACTGGTACCTATGGTCCCTGCACCTTTGTATGTTATCACTAAGAACAATGTTTGTCTGACTGTGGACAAGTCTTACGGGCTAAACTTGTCATCTGATGCTCTCAGCCAGTGGATTAAATCCTGATTGGCATAAAACTGATATATGTAAAGTGGAATGATATCACAGAAGAACAAAAGGTCCACAAGCTCCTGGGTAATCCAGGTTAGTTTCAAACTATTCTAAAACATTTTGACTCTGTACCATTTAATGGGGTTATGATGCTTAGAGTGTGAAGAGGCATCAACCAGTTGACTACAAACACATACTGTTGACAGAACTCTGAGACATATGTTCAATGTACATTTGGAACAGTAAACATTATCGGTATGCATCGTAGCTCTTTACAGTGAACCCCAGGGCAACAACTTCTCCTTTCTATTCCAATCCAACACATTTTTTAAAGGAGGACTAAAGGAAGAAAAATGGAAAGTAAAGGGAAGGAGCAGGAAGAGGTATCTGTTGTCCATAGTTTATTTGTTTTCATTTTTAATTTGCCGTGGGCTTCTTCCACTGACTTTTCATGATGGCCCCTGAGAGGGTTAGATGCCGCTTTAGATGAAGTGTATAAAGGAAGTTAAATGATTAATTTAATTTCATCAATTGATTTTGACTTACTGTTTGTACTTTGAGTGTTGCGCTGTGTAATTCAGTTCTGTATGTTTTGTCAGTGAACAGAGGTTTATCTGTATTTGAGTTCATTTTATGATTGTCAGATCACTATTTTAATTCTTTAAGTCTGTTTTGCGTAAAAAGGAAAGTGCGGTGTTTAGTTAACGTTTTTATTTATTTATTTTATGCACAACCTGAATTAATTGATTTTATAGGATTTATTCTAGGATTTTTCTGTAAACGTGGTAGTGGTGCTATAATGTAACTGCATTACAATTAATTATATAGAGCCAACATATTCCGCAGATCTGTACAATATGTAAACAAGGTCAACTTGTAGCTCTAACAAAAATGTTTGTCAAACTGGAACAGTAGATGAATATCATCTCTGTACCTGGATACATTTCCCCCTCCCCTACCTTTATTGCAAGCTCTCTGACCCTCACATCTCTTTATTCAACAGCCTGATTCCCCAACTTTGCAAGCCCATTCCTTCAGTCAGCATATTACATTTATAGATTGTCTGTCACACCTACATTTTAGTTAGGTTAAAAAAACTGCCTCTTATTAGTACACTCCTGCACTTTCTTAACCCATAAAACACCTTCACCTGCTCTTGATATTCCAATTATCTCCAATTTCTATTTTTCACAGTTTAGCGATGATCTATTTTCTCCTCCTCTTTATTTCCTCAGTCTCCCTCAGTATAAAAATCTCTCCTTACACTCACTTCACTCATCCCCCCCATCCACATTTACAAATGCCCTTCTTTGCTACACTCCCCCCTTCTCTCATCTCATGCCTTACACTCATTTTTCTACTCTCTCACTCCAACCCACAATTGATCTCATCCTAGACCCCATGCATACAAAACCCATTCACACCTCCTGTCACTTTCTCTCCTTCTACTTCTAGCAGCTGGTGATGTCTCTCCCAATCCAGGGCCCTTCACCTTCTCTACACACACTAAGACAACCAGAAACCCCACTCTGGAATGCCCGCTCCATCTGCAGTAATTTAAAATCAACCATACACGACTTTTTCATCTCAAACTCACTCACACTGCTTGCACTTACAGAGACCTGGTGGCCCCCTCTGATAGCGCTACTCCTGCCTTTACAGTCCCCACTTCCTCTCATCTAGCAGCTTAATGAAGTGGTCTGGGTGCCAGGTCCAGTTAGGATCAACCCTTTTTTCTATAAACATAGCAGTTTCAGAGAAACTGCTATGTTTATAAATGGGTTAATCCAGCCTCTAGTGGCTGTCTCATTGACAGCCGCTAGAGGCGCTTGCGTGCTACTCACTGTGATTTTCTCAGTGAGAAGATGCAAGCGTCCATAGGAAAGCATTGAGAATGCTTTCCTATGAGACTGGCTGAATGCGCGCGCAGGTCCTGCCACGCATGCGCATTCAGCCGAAGAGGAGGAGAGGAGGAGGAGAGCTCCCCGCCCGGCGCTGGAGAAAGAGTGCTATATGTGCTATATTCAGATAATCGGAATTGGCCACCTGCATTGCTGGAGGCTATATTTTCATTTTGTGGTTTTTTTTTTTGTTTTTTTTTCTGGAATGCATTATAATTGCCATGTCTTATTTAATTAGATATAGTGTACCATTTATATATTCTTTTGTAATGGAAGTGATGGAATGCCTACACAGAGATTAACAAATGTATTTAAGAACAAATCTCCTTTTGCGACAAAGTGTAATTAAAACTGCCATAAGTGGATGTCAGGAGGCATAGTGGATGGATGTTGGTGGGTAATATACAGCACTCCAATAGATATCTTTAATAGGATCAGAATTGGCTAAGAAATTTCAAACACCTCATGGGCAACACACTTACTTGCACCATTTGTGCCTTTATTGTAGTTTGCAAATGCCAAATCTTCATAAAATATGAAAAGTTATTTCTAAGCAAAAGGTATGATACCTCGGAATGAAGTCTAAAAAACAGCAAAATTCCCTTTGATACACTAATAATTACAGGGTCACAATTATATAGCTAGAAATCATTGGCAAATTACTCATATTCATCACTATCAGCAACCTATACATGGGATGTAAATGTTTAGCTGATAACAGTGCACACGTAAGATTGGGAAATTATTGATAAGTACCCTTTACCCTTAACCATACTGTTTGCATTGATATCTCTTCTCTTGCATTTCTTACAAAGTCCTCATATATATTATGCTCCATACTATGCTCAGAATTTGGACATTTAGGGGAGATAGACATTCTGGGTGATAATAGAAGCATCTAAAGTCAAGTTAGTAGAATGCTGCACTTGTTGCATATAAAGTAGCAATTGTTGCACATAACGTATAGCATTTTACAATGTGTTTGATTATTGGAAGATTTACAACATGCCTATTAGCAAACTTTGTACAGAATGACAATAGCCTAATTTGAATATTAGCAGGATACAAAATTAACATTCTTAAAACGGAAGCTAATACTCCTAATGATGCATTGATTGTGATCCGTCGGATTATGATGCAGTGACGCCACCATGTGCTGATCTTCACATAGCTTAACATAGCAAGCCCTATGATCTGGGGGTGCTAAGGATTATGGGTAAGAAGGCACTTTGCTTAGGAGAGTAAAATCATTTCTAAGTGTGTGGTGTTCGCTTCATAGAGATTCTATGCTAATATGTATATACTTAATTCTCATATATTTTAAAATGTATGTCGTCTGGGTGTTTGTCCTATTGCTAATCAAGGCAGTAGTTATCCCTCGGACAGTCCAGTAGTTTATAAACATAATGTTTGCATTAAAAGTTGATGAAGTTGACGCCATCTCCCCAGTGCTACCCTCTCATACGGAAAGGGATTACTGTAATCCGTTGGTTGTTTTCCAGAAAACTTGGACAGTACCACTGCTTTTTAAATCCCACTTTAACCGACTTATTTCCAGCTGCAGATTTGAGCTATACCCCCTCTCTTTATCTGTTCCAGTGTCTCCTGGGAGACGTGCATGAATTTTCAAGCCTCTTTCAGGCTCTGTCTGCAGATGATACTTCTCACTATTCATATTGTGCCAGTTACATCACTAGACAAGAAGCAGCTGACGCGGGGTCACTGTAGGACCTTTTGTTGGCTTGGGGGGTTTGAGATAGTAGAAAGCCTTTACCCTTGTTCTCATATGCTGCAGGTCTTGCTGCCCCAGCCCATAGCTCAATACATCTCATGAGGGCAGGGGTGACCTACATAACACAGAAACCTACAGGCGTAGCTCAATGAAACCAATTTAATTAATGTCCTCATGCACGCAGGCCTTGCTCAGGCAAACAAATTCATGTGCTGGGTGTTTGTGATTGACATGCAACTTTAACACAGAATCAAGTATATATGACTTTACATGTCCAAATGTGCTAGTTCAGTTACTTGTGTTTGTGTATAAAAATCTATGGTTAGATAAGCCAAGAGATAAACATGCACAACACAGACTGCACTTGCTCACATTGTAATGATATACTTTACAATTCATGAGAAGCAGTCAGTTTATATTTTTGCTTTTTTTTTTTTTGTATATATTATGTAAAGATATATAAAGAACATATTTTAGACTTTAACCCCTTGCAATTCCCAACATTCCTTTGAAAGATTTTTTATTTTTTGGGGATCAAATTGTTCCATAGACAGTTTTTTCCACTGTCCCTCTGTCACTATCTGAGCAGTCATGTAATAGCTCTGCTACAACACTATATTCTTACTGCCTGACTGTAAGTGTGCATCTTGTAAGATTGTTTATTTAACCCGTGACTTTCAATGTCATTACAACAAACTGGTCCTTAATGACCTTTTAATGATCTTGTTAATTTAGAATGATTAGCTCTGCGAAGTCCAGATGGTGCTAAATGAGTGGAATGTTGTAGATTCAAATTGGTGATGATGTGTTTGATTGTGATTGGTTTTTAACAGTTAAGGACTGTAGATATATGAGGAATGCTTATTTTATATTAAACCCCTCCACTTGTTATAAGATTTCATGTAACTTAGAAGCTCTGCTTTATCCATGTCAAGTAAAGGAGTTTATTCAAAATGAATTGACGCAAAATTCAAGCTAAATAAATTACAATCCTTAGTGTTGCTGCAAACATATTTTGTAAGCCACAACGTTTTGAATGAAACATGATGCCGGATAGTTCTATCAATGGCATGTTTCTAACTTTTGGAGGGGAACTCATAACCTGGCTTGATGCTGAAATAGAAAAACAAAAATAAAAACATCTGGTGACAGATTTTTAGAATGCTTATGAGGGGCAGAAGATTGCCTCCCTTGGTTTGTTGTTAGTGTACAATTAAAGGCTTATTCCAAGCACGATGGCCACTTCAGTGATTAAAACTGGTCATGGTGCCTGGAATCTGTATGTGCAGCGTTTCACTATGAAATGCTGCATATAGAACGTCTAACCCCTCTGCTGCCAGAGGTTTAACTGCAGCTCCAGAATCATCATTGGGGTGATATTAGCTAGCTCGTAATGAGTTTCGGGCTGGCTAATGTCTGTTCTGTGTACCATGCTAGCGACAGACTGCAGCGTGTAAATTTCAGGGCACTCATACAGTGCAGGAAATTTTGAAGCTTCAAATCACTAGTTAGTCACTAAGCAGAACATTGTTGAGAGCTGAAAAACTCAGGCTAAAGTGCCAGAACTGTGACTATAGCCAAGTTGGAGAATGTTTCCAAATTGGCTATTTTGGCCTAAGTTTTGTAGTTTGATTTTAAACTCACTGAACTTTGGACAACTGAGCTTACTGAATGTACAAAAGTACTGACGACAGGAAGGTGAAAAGGTTGAATGCCACATGCTGGTTATTCAGATATAAAGCTATGTTGTAGAAAATTTATACGTTCTACTCAAGGTTTGGAATACTGACTACATATAAAAAGCATTCACTACTAGGTGTATTTACAATTTGAGGACTATCTAAGCTTCAGAACCAAAATAGCGTATTATAGTGCTTATGGTGCCAAATAATTTCTAGACCAGTGGTTCACAAACCAGTCCTCACAACCCAGCAACAGCCCACGTTTTGTAAGTATCCATTGAAATAAAACAAGAGAATACATAAATCCTAGATTGTTGATGGACCATGAGGACTGGTTTGGGAACCACTGTTTTAAGGCTTGACAAAACATGGGGCTCATCAGTACCTAAATCTGGACCCACCTGTTGTAGCTTGGCTTATAGAAATCTTTGTTAACCTACACATACTTTATAGCCAGAACATTTATAACAAACTCACTAGTCTGTTCTAAAATAAAGAAAATACAGTATATATCAGGAATGAGGCTAAGGGAGAGGCAGGAGAGTGTGGGACCTCCCTGAAACAACTTGTGGTTAGGAAAGAACCAGACATCAAATAATTATTTTTATTATGGAGTGGAAGCTGTATATTTCTTATAGTCATGGCACAAGTGACACCCAACACGATAGTAGAGAAATACAAAATACAGGATAGTAACATATTATTTGTCCTTGAGATAGTTGCGTGTAATGTCATGATACTGACTCCATACTAACTCCCTTATTGGCCCTCTTCAATCTAGCTTGAGCTCCCTCTATTCTACTGAAACTGCCCTTACCAAAGTGACTTAATCACTGCTAAATCTAAAGGGTATTACTTTATCTTAATTCTTCTTGACCTCTATGCTGCCTTTGATACTGTTCTCTCTCTTCTTCAAACCCTCCACAACGTTTACTCTGTGACACCATGCTTTCCTGGTTTTCATATTTTCCTTCTGAATGATCATTTAGTGCATTCTTCTCTGGTGTCACCACCTCATCGCTGCTTGTCTTGGTGTTACTCAAGCCTCTGTTGTTGGTCTTCTGTTATTCTCCATTTACACTACCTTTCTCTGTAACCTATGGATCTCCTTTTTTTTTTTTCATACTATCTATAAGCTCACCTTTTCTCCCCAAGCTGTCTCCAAATCCTGTAACTTAAAAATATTGCCTACCTTCACCTAAGTCATTAGATCATGTACTGATCATTTCTCAACTTTATTATAGCAACTTGCTACCAATCGTAGAACCATTGCATACCTCTATAGGATAGCCTACTATCTTCCCGGGTGATGCTTCTTTCATTACAATTGTCTATTCAGTTCCCTCACCTCCATAGCCCAGCTCACTTTTACTCTCTCTACACTGTTCGATTGTTTCACACCCTACTTATACTAGTTTATTTTGACACATGAATCTTATCTATCAATAATTCCTCCTCTCTAACATGCTGTTATTTCTCATGTGTGTCTTCACCTTTTCCTCATAGATTGTAAGCTTGCTTAAACAGGGCCTTCTTCACCACTTGTCTCTGGTAATATTTTGAATGTCAATTTCGTGTTGTCAAACATCCCTATTTTTATAATTGTAAAGCGCTGTGGAATGTTTTGGCGCTACATCAATGCTAATAACAGTAATAAAGGTAGGTGAAATGTAGAATAGGTAGAATGGACAGTAACAAACCAAGATCAAGGACATGGCAATGGAGAAATTAAACCAAAGTTGGGGGTACCAAAAATCAGAGCTGGGTTAATACACAAATATAATAATAATATAGACATTATAGAGATAGACAGTCACATAATAGAACCACAATAAGACAGTCTGTATGAATGGTTCTCTGTTTAAATAGTATCTGACTGCGTCAAATAGACCACGTCTGATCGTTGGCTACCAATTTGATATGGCCAAATTTACCTAGACTCCCACAACAATGAAGCTGTGTCCTGTGAAAAGGATCAGTGTCTAAAAGACTCTCGGAAAAGCAAGGCCATCTGAGAGGGATGTGTATAATTAGAGAAGAGGCTGCAGTTTGCCATTCAGCTAGCACAATGTAAATTGAATTGTTTATGAATTTACAGACTTTATTTTGCCATGTTATATGTGACACAGTCCATTTAAAGTTACAATTAGAAAAATGATGTGTGACCGGGGCTCATTTTTCCTTGTGTGCCAGTTTTTGTAAGTAATGAGTGACAGTCTGATTACGTTTACAAACATTTTCCCATACATTGTGTTTGCTACCTATGCCCTATCTGAAAAGCCTTTCATTAGGATGCACCGAAATGAAAATTCTGGGGCGAAACCGAAAATTCAGGATGCCCTTGTCCGAAAACCGAAACCAAAAATTACTTTTTTCCCCAAATGATTTTAAAATAGTTTTTTTTCTATAATTTTTTATTAATATTAGACTTTTTAATGGATTTAATGAATCTAATATGAAAAATTTCCCTTCTCCCTTCTTTTTTAGTGCCCCCTACCCCAGTGTTCCTTTTCCCTTCCCTGTACCTTAGTTCCCTCCCTTAATGTTCCTCTCTCCTACCTCTTTTTTAGTGTTCTTTCCCCCTTCTCCCCAGTCCCATAGTGTTCTTCCCCCCCATCCCATAGTGTTCTTTCCTCCCCCCTCCTCTATCCCATCGTGTTCTTTTCTACCCCCTACCATGTCCCCTAGTGTTCTTTTCTCCACTCTCCCCTGTCCCATAGTGTTCTTTCCCCCTCCCCTGTCCCATAGTGTTCTTTCTCCCCTCCCCTGTCCCATAGTGTTCTTTCTTCCCTCCCCTGTCCCAAAGTGTTACTTTCTTCCCTCTCCACTCTCCCCTGCCCCATAGTGTGCTTCCCCCCTCCCCTGTTACATAGTGTTCTTTCCCCCCTGTTCACCTGTCGTGGTGTTCTCTCCCCCTCCCTCCCTGTCCCATGGTGCTTTTCTCCTCCCTCCCCTGTCCCAGTGTGTCCCATAGTGTTCTTTCCCCCTCCCTGTCCCATAGTGTTCTCCCCTGTCCCATAGTGTCCCCTTCCCCCCTCCCTCCCCTGTCCCATAGTGTTCTTTCCCCCTCCCCTGTCCCAGTGTTCTTTCCTCCCCTCCCAGTGGTGTTCCTTTCTCCCCTCCCCTTCCTGTCCCATCCCCTCCCTATTCCATAGTGTTCATTTCTCCCCTCCCTGTCCCATAGTGTTCTTTTCCCCTCTCCTGTCCCATAGTGTTCTCTTTCCCCCCCCTCCCCTGTCCCATAGTGTTCTCCCCCCCTGCACCATAGTGCTGTATTCTTGACTTTCTATGTTATCATTACCATCAATGATTGTGATATATAATCATCTGAATTGTCAATGCAAGCATACCTGTTAAACTATGCACTACAAAAATAAAAAAGATCAAAAAAACATAATTTTTTTTTTACATTTTATCCGTTTTCGGCCGACATGGGATAGGCCCATTTTCGGCTAAAAATGTTGTCAGCCGAAATTCCGGTGCATCCCTACCTTTCAGTGACATTTTATGTTGTGTGGAGGAATGGTGTTTATCAAAGTATTCTATCTATTGATACCTAGGACGTACATCTGGGACACTGAGTGTTAGGAAAGTAGAAGATGAAGGATAGCAGATTGATATTGATAGAGTTAGTTGAAATTTTTTTTGCTTTTAATCTGTCGAAACCTAAAGGAGGTTACAATTAATCCTAGTTATATCAAGGGGACTTGGTTGCAATTACGAGCATGGGCATTAAAGGACCACTATAGTGCCAGGAAAACATACTCTTTTTCCTGGCACTATAGTGCCCTGAGGGTGCCCCCACCCTCAGGGTTCCCCTCTCGCCGGGCTGGATGGAGAGGAAGGGGTTAAACTTACCTCTTTCTCCAGCGCCGGACGGGGAGCTCTCCTCCTCCTCTCCTCCTCTTCGGCTGAATGCGCATGCGCGGCACAATGCTTTCCTATGGACGCTGGCGTCATCTCACTGTGATTTTAACAGTGAAAAACGCTGAAGCGCCTCTAGTGGCTGTCAATGAGACAGCCACTAAAGGCTGGATTAACCCTAACATAAACATAACAGTTTCTCTGAAACTGCTATGTTTATAGAAAAAAGGGTTAACCCTAGATGGACCTGGCACCAAGACCACTTCATTAAGCTGAAGTGGTCTGGGTGCCTATAGTGAGATAATAATAAATTAATAAACACTTGTTATGATAATGCATGTTATAGTTCTGTTTTGGGGAGTGGGTGTATAAGTAAAAAGGCCTGTATGCAGTGCTTTCAGAGAACTATTAAACAAAATAGGTCTCTACACTTAGATGCACAAGGAAATGGTTATGTATTTAAACGTTAATCAGATATCACATCAGACAATTCTTACTATATTGTAATGTCCTGTGTACTCCAACTAGATTGGGTCAGACAGATAGAATGTTTGTTTACGCATTGCGTTGCAAAAATAAATTGAATAAATAAATGCAAAATGTGTAAAGAGGTGCAACCACAGTACAGATCATGTGTTACCATTCAGCATTTAAAGGGTTGTTCACTAAAGTGAGATTTCAAAGTGAATTTGAAATGTAAAGCACGAGCAGCTGGACTGAAAGCATAGCTGACTTAGAATATTTCTAGTGCAGTTATTTTGACCTTCACCTTTGAATTCTCACTTTGGTAAATTGCCCTGTTTGTAATTTGCTCTTTAAAGGTTTAAAACATTAACCCGCAAATTATATGCAGCAGCTGTCAAACAATGTTATGTATGAGTTATGATCAATATAATGATTGCAAGAATAGTTATACCTTAATGCCTACATGTACAAAAACTGCAGTACATATCTAAAAAAATAACAGCATTTCATGAGAAAGAATATTGGGCTAATACACTGTGCTGGTGCTAGCAGCCGGTGTCATACTTGTGACGTGATAATCCACAAGACAAATGAGGAATCCCAAGATTATACAGAAGCCGTGCAGAGGATTTTTGTGAGAATTACCTGATATCCAGAGATGTTTCTGAATAATATGATGGAGCAGAATGGGGCACTCTGGCTTGTTATAGCACTGTCTCCCAGAGAGGTTCGTGGTTTGTCCTGGAGAGCCTGGACTGTGTGAATGAGGTGGGTGTACAGACCACTCTCTGTCAAAGCAGGTTTAATTTCCTGCTGGGGGCATAATCTCTTGGCAAAATACGGATCAAGTCTTAATCTGTCCTTCTCATTTCACAGATAGGGGGGTGGATATCATGCTGCCCCCCTAATCTGTGAGGGCAAAGGTAAAGACATGTAACTCTTTCAGCACCAGTGAAACCATAAATAAAGTTATAAAACGTTAAAAAACAAAACACGTCATTATATCTGTCTATTGACAGAGAGGATGTGTCCTGAAGCCAGTGTATTAGCAGGCAAAGAGAAGTCTGTGCATTAGGAGAAGGTGCCAGGGGTATTTGAATGTATTTGGCGTGTTAAAGAAAGTGGCGGAGAATTGTAATAAAATCACACATTTTGGATAAAAATAGCAAATTCATAAATCTTCCATCTATTCTACAGCTATTTTTTTCAATCCCCTGCATGTAGTAAAGGAACACTCTAGGCACCATAACCACTACAGAGGACTGTAGTGTTTATTTTGCTTTGATTTCACATTTACCATCCAGGGTTACTTTGTCAAATCATTTATGAACAATTACACACTTTCCTTGCTGTATTAAGTACCCAAGGTAGTTCTGTTCAGAGTTAGTCTGAAAAAGTGAAAGTTTATACTTCTGGGGCGGAGCCAAGCTGCAGAGCGGAGAGGTCGCATGGCACTGCAGCTCCAGCGGTTCAAACTAAAAATACCCTAATCTAACCTGAAAAAACCTGATCAAAACGGCTATAAACCTGAGCCACAGCAGAGGAGCCGATATGGTACGCAAAAATAAGAAACAAAAGCCTGAACAGCTCAGGCTTGGCCTCGATATCTGAGCCATGTTGAGGCAGGTACACAGAGCGACCGGGCCCAAGATGGCCGACTACCCAGAAACTTACTCCGACCTGTCGGACGAATTCTCCCAGCGGGAGGACGCGCATAACTCCCCCGGCCCACCGACCAACTACCAAGCCTCTGGACCCCGATAATGCACCTGTCACAGCAGCGGTGCTCAAGTCGCTGCTGGCAGGCCTACAGACCACGCTCCAGGCGGAAATGGCGGGCCTCCGCGCGGACCTCCAGGGCATAACCGGGAGACTGGGCAACCTGGAAGACACCTCCGCCACCACAGCGGCCCAGATTACCTCCATGCAAAAGGAGATAAGGGGCTACAGAGCAAAACGTAGGCTTTAGTGGTAACTCACCACAACCCCACGGTTGTTTTTTGTTAGGGTAGTTTTGGTTGCTTATTTAGCCTACTTTGCCTGTTTTGCCTAATGCTATATTTCTTAGCCTCTCCTTATTACCACACATACGAATGATGCCAGATATCCACATGTAACACACTCACGCTTCTGCCACCCACCCGTTCGATTACCTCTCTCCCCCACCCCCCCACCCCCGTCTGCTTAAGCGGATACTTGACGATACATACCGCCAAACGGTAGACTGACGGGCGTATCTCACACCCAGTAACAAGATACTTCACAAGCTACACACCCGCCTACGTGGCTACAACGAGGAAAATACATCCCATCATGGCACAATACACTACCTTACTCAGCCTTCCAATTATCGGAACAGCCCAATACAAACATAGTGGGATATACGTTACGGCACATACACTAAATGCGCAAACTTAACCGCTTAGCGTGCCACACTTCAAGTATCAACTGGTTACTCTAAAGCCACTGTCTTATTCAAATTTCAAGCACACATATGTCATCCTACCAATGTTATTATTAACCTGCTTTACCATTTGTACATATTTTCTTTAATCGACCTACATGTTACTAGTTTGTTATGCCAACAAAATATAAAATGTGTGACACCTTAGCTATGCCAAGAAATGCTATGTAATTGCTCGCATTCGCTATTGTGGCGTTGCAAGCGCAAATGTAATCTTATGCACAAGAAAAATAAAGAATAAAAAAGTTTATACTTCTGTTTTATCACTCCAGGTTTAGATAATATTGATGTAGTGGGAGCCTCCAACTGACACTCTGAGCCACTGCATACTGTATGAATGCATTCTGAATGCTCTAATAGTTATGGTGCCTAGAGTATCCCTTTAAAAAGAGATAAGAACATATATCTTAACACCTCTGTATTTGGATGAAGTGAAAGTATGTGTCCCGATCAGGGCTGGTGCAAGGATTTCTGCCACTGTGAACATCACAGTGAGAAGACGCTGGACCTCCATAGGAAAGCATTGAAAATGCTTTTCTATGGACTGTTTGAATGCACGCGCGGCTCTTGCCGCGCATGCGCATTCAAAGCGATAGTTGGGAGAGGGAAGAGAGTTCCCCAGCGCCAAGGGAGCGTGGTGCTGGAGAAAGGTAAGTGTTTAACCCCCTCAGCCCACTTCAGCCCGGCGGGAGTGGGACCCTGAGGGTGGGGGGGACCTAAAGACCGTATAGTGCCAGGAAAACAAATTTGTTTTCCTGGCACTGTAGTGGTCCTTTAAGCAAAAACAGCTGGACTGTGACTGTAGCTGAGTTGGAGAATTCTTCTAGATCAGCTATTTTGGCCTAAATTTTGCCATATGGTTTTCAGTTAGGTCTACCTTATACACACATACTGCTTAATGCTTACATCCATACACCCACACTGCTTAATGCCTACATCCATACACACATACTGCCTAATAGATACATTGTACATTGAATATATAATTTATCGCTGTGATAAATGATGTACGGTATTCAGTGCATTTGGTGAATTTGCTGTTTAGTGTTGGAGTGAAAAGGTTTTTAACTTACCTTTTCTGGTTTGCCACTCCGTTCTCACCTCTGCTGGCTTCACCTCCATGACTGAGACCATCAGTCTTGATGATCTCAGCCAATCCATTGCTTTCCTATAGGAAAGCATTGGGAGGCTATTGCGCATGTGCAGCAAAACGCTGTGCTGCGCTGCACCAATTAGCATATGCTAATAGAGCAGTCATCGTCTCCATGCAGAGCGTGGAGATGCTGAACGTCAGTGCTGCATATATATATTATAATATATATAATACCTATATATATATATATGTATATATATATATATATATATATATATATATATATATATATATATATATATATATATATATATATATATATATATAGTATATTTAATATTATAAAATATAAATAATAAGTAAATAAAAAATAAAATAAAAATAATTATACATATATATGTGATTTCAATCTAACTGTATTTTGATATGAATAAATATATATATATATATATATATATATATATATACACTGCTCAAAAAATTCAAGGGAATACAAAATAACACATCCTAGATCTGAATGAATTAAATATTCTTCTGAAATACTTTGTTCTTTACATAGTTGAATGTGCTGACGACAAAATCACACAAAAATAAAAAAAATGGAAATCAAATTTTTCAACCCATGGAGGTCTGGATTTGGAGTCACACTCAAAATTAAAGTGGAAAAACACACTACAGGCTGATCCAACTTTGATGTAATGTCCTTAAAACAAGTCAAAATGAGGCTCAGTAGTGTGTGTGTGGCCTCCACGTGCCTGTATGACCTCCCTACAACGCCTGTGCATGCTCCTGATGAGGTGGCGGATGGTCTCCTGAGGGATCTCCTCCCAGACCTGGACTAAAGCATCTGCCAACTCCTGGACAGTCTGTGGTGCAACGTGACGCTGGTGGATGGAGCGAGACATGATGTCCCAGATGTGCTCAATTGGATTCAGGTCTGGGGAACGGGCGGACCAGTCCATAGCATCAATGCCTTCGTCTTACAGGAACTGCTGACACACTCCAGCCACATGAGGTCTAGCATTGTCTTGCATTAGGAGGAACCCAAGGCCAACCGCACCAGCATATGGTCTCACAGGGGGTCCGAGGATCTCATCTCGGTACCTAATGGCAGTCAGGCTACCTTTGGCGAGTACATGGAGGGCTGTGCAGCCCCCCCAAAGAAATGCGACCCCACACCATTACTGACCCGCTGCCAAAATGGTCATGCTGGAGGATGTTGCAGGCAGCAGAACGTTCTCCGCGGCGTCTCCAGACTCTGTCACGTCTGTCACATGTGCTCAGTGTGAACCTGCTTTCATCTGTGAAGAGCACAGGGCGCCAGTGGCGAATTTGCCAATCTTGGTGTTCTCTGGCAAATGCCAAACGTCCTGCACAGTGTTGGACTGTAAGCACAACCCCCACCTGTGGACGTTGGGCCCTCATACCACTCTCATAGAGTCTGTTTCTGACCATTTGAGCACACATGCACATTTGTGGCCTGCTGGAGGTCATTTTGCAGGTCTCTGGTAGTACTCCTCCTGTTCCTCCTTGCACAGGTAGTGGTCCTGCTGCTGGGTTGTTGCCCTCCTACAGCCTCCTGATGTACTGGCCTGTCTCCTGGTAGCGCCTCCATGCTCTGGACACTACGCTGACATACACAGCAAACCTTCTTGCCACAGCTCGCATTGATGTGCCATTCTGGATGAGCTGCACTACCTGAGCCACTTGTATGGGTTGTAGACTCCGTCTCATGCTACCACTAGAGTGAAAGCACCGCCAGCATTCAAAAAAGTGACCAAAACATCAGCCAGGAAGCATAGGAACTGAGAAGTGCTCTGTGATCACCACCTGCAGAACCACTCCTTTATTGGGGGTGTCTTGCTAATTGTCTATAATTTCCACCTGTTGTCTATCCCATTTGCACAACAGCGTGTGAAATTGATTGTCACTCAGTGTTGCTTCCTAAGTGGACAGTTTAATTTCACAGAAGTGTGATTGACTTGGAGTTAACTTGTGTTCTTTAAGTGTTCCCTTTACTTTTTTGAGCAGTGTATATATATTAATATCAAAATACACTTAGAATTAATTTATATATATCTATGTACATATAAACAAATAAATAAAAATGATAAAAAAATATAAATATATCCATATACATAATTACAAAAATAATTTCATAAATGTACACGTAGACTTCAAAGATATAAATATGTATATATATTTAAATTCTATGTGCAGATTTAGGTAATATTTTGACATAATTAAGTAAGTTTATTGATTACAATTTGAGGGACCTGCCTGATAACCCAGGCAGAAAGTCCAGAAAATGTAATTTGCTAGCACTATTTTTAACCCTCTAACTTTCCAATACACCCTAAAACCTGTACATGGGGGGTACTGTTTTACTCTGGAAACTTTGCTGAATACAAATGTTAGTGTTTCAAAACAGTAAAACATATCACAACAATGATATTGTCAGTTGAAGTGAAGTTTTTTGCCTTTTTCACACACAAATGGCACTTTCACTGATGTTATTGTTGTGATACGTTTTATTGTTTTGAAACACTAATATTTGTGTTCAGCGAAGTCTCACGAATATAACAGTACCCACCATGAATAGGTTTTATAGTGTTTTTGAAAGTTACTCGGTCAAATATGAGGCTTGCATTTCCATTTTTTCACATTGAAATATGCCAGATTGGTTATGTTGCCTTTGAGAGCGTATGGTAGCCCAGGAATGAGAATTACCCACATGATGGCATACCATTTTCATAAAAAGACCACCCAAGGTATTGCAAATGGGGTATGTTCAGTCTTTTTTAGTAGCCACTTAGTCACAAAATTAGCCAAAGTTAGCGTTTATATTTGTTTTTTGCATTTTTAACACACAAACAAATATAAATGTTGAATTTGGCCAGTGTTTGTGACAAAGTGGCTACTAAAAAGACTGGACATACCCCATATTGAATACCCTGGGTTGTCTACTTTTGTAAATGGTATGCCATCATGGGGGTAATTCTCATTCCTGTGCTACGATGCAGTCTCAAAGGCAACATAACCAATCTGGCAAATTTCAATGTGTAGAAACTGAAAAATGAAACATGACATATTTGACCCTGTAACTTTCCAAAACATCACAAAGCCTGTACATGGGTTATACCGTTGTACTTGTGAGATGTTGCTGAATACAAATATGTGCATTTTATTGCAGTAAAAGCTAACCGTATTATGACATTCACAGTTAAAATGCCATGCAGAACTAAAAAATGTTTTTAAAGTCTTAATTTCTCACACTTTTTTTTAGATTTTATTCATAATGAATTATGTTTCATATATGAATAGTTAATGTGAAATCAAAGCCCTGTTTCTCCTGAACAAAATTATGTATAATAAGTGTTCATAGCACTTAATATGAAAAAGGTGAATTGCGGTTTAAAAGACATATAGCGTAAATTCCAGTTTTTGTTTATCTTTTGTTTTGATTGCAACGTGTACGACGGGCTCAGTCCTTAAGGGGTTAAAGAATGCCTTGAACTTTAGAAGTGGGCGGGGCAGAAGGATTAGAGTTAGCATGGAGAGCATTCACGCCAGGATAACACGCCTCCTTTCTGGCCAGGTCTGCATCCCATGGTTTTCACACCATGACCTGCTTATGCAGCAGGGACGTCATTTATTATATGTATGTTAATTGAGTAATGTAGATGCAAGTATCTTGTGAAATATTTTTATATTGGGCTAACCATATTATTCTTGTTTTAAATGTGCTAAAGATTGCAAATCTTGTTCTAAATTATTGGTAATGTATTAATAAGGTATTACAGTTACTGCAATACTCAATTATATATTGCATCATGCACGGGCAGTCGCAGAACAACTGACTGAATGCAGCGTCCAGTACAGAACAGTTTATGATACCCAGATTTAATTATTTCAATGTATTTCTGCATCTGAGTGTATACATCATTGTTTCCAATTTATATGCAAAACGCTCTCCCACCTATTACCATAAGGCACGAATTCCTCCAGCTCCCTCTCCGTCTTACCACATCAGTGAAGCACATTTCTAACATTGTTATGTTTTTCCATTTCTAACATTATTATGTTCTAACATTATTACAGTTCTTCAATTCACACAGAATGTCTAATACAAATAAATGAGGCTGTGCATAAATCCAGCATACTATACTATTTATGTGTCAGAACTTCAAGGACAAAGTAAGGAGTTTGAGAAAGGTGCGAAACTTGGCCTTATCTTAATCAACTTAACATTAATAAAGTGCATGTTGTCTAAATTATATATACATATCGATTTATCATAATTATATATTATTTTATTACCTAGCATTACCGAGGCTACTGAGGCACTCATAGCTCTCCCCCTCTGCAGCCGCTCTGTAAATGCAGTAACTATACACAAATAGTTCTAGGCAGAGAAGGCCTTTGGCCTAACGTGCCCTTAGCATATTTGCAGGCACTTGGGGAAATTTGTCAAAGTGTTCTGAAACATGAAACAAAGATGTAAAAAAAAAAAAAGGAGGTATCATGAGTGGAATACTATTGTTGTTTCCAAGGGTTTCCACAGTGATTACTCCCCTTTTAGTACATTGCACCATTTTCCAGAACACAGCACTTGTGTGTTCAGGTAATTTGGGATGCAGGACACACAGCATTTTAAAATGACATTTTAACCTTGAAGATAATAAATTATAATGGACACTGTCCCCCAATAAAGTCACTGGCCACTTACAGAAACGATTTTATAGTTCATTTAGTGCAAAATGTGGCCAACGTTCATAAGTGCAGGCATATAGAAATGTTACATACTGGGAGAAACATTTCTTGGCACAATTTGAGCATTAGCCCTTACTTGTATGTATAAAGGTTGTGCAAAGTTTGTGTACTTGCACTAATGGATGCTTTGCAAACATTACACCGTTATTTCAGTCTTAAACTACTTTTTACTTGGTGGTGACATTCATGCATGCAGGAAGCTATAATCGCTCTGTCATGTCTGGGACTGGAGGTAGGCATGTTATCCCTCTCTACCGGCCGTTAGCTCATTATTCAATCTGTGTTTAGTCAAATTCAATGGACAATTAACAATGTAACACCAGTAAAAAAAAAAACAGACAACCAGGAATCACAGGCAAAGTGCATGTTGGGAAACGTTCTACTCTTGAGATGGGTAATCTATAGAAAGGTTTAATAAAATGTTTCATTTTAAATATATTACCTCAACATACAGACCAATGTTATGCTTTATTACTGGATAGGTCAATTTTGGCACAGAGATTTTGAAACCATAAGTTGTTTTGTACCTTCAGTATAACTTAAAGGTGTATATCTCCACATGAGGCAGGGGGCATGATTGGCCAGCCTGAGTTTGGGGTGGTTAATGTTAATTCTGTGCATGTTTCCATTGGTATCTTATATAGACTCTATGCAACTGAAATGTAATTTAGACAGATGTATCCTATTTACACAGACCTTTGTAGTTTAAAGACATATTGCTGTGAGTATTATTGTGTTTGAGCTCTTTTATACACTACCAACATAGTTCTCCTAGGAGATGCATCTCCTAGAAAAGAGGGACGTTGGCACAGAAAACAGGAACGTATCCCATAGTGACTGTCCCTCATAATTAGGGACACTCGTGCAGCATGCAATTGGATGTATGCAACATACAACAGCTTGTTGTTCTCAACTACTTTGTTTGAATAGCACATTTATGCAGTAACGCTAATGTATCTGTTTGTAAGACAGAGGCCTGGACACATATATAATATCAGGAAAAAATCAATAGAAAGCCAGTCACACATTCGATACACTAACCAGGACAGTACCAGGAGTTTCTGCTCAGTTCATAGCTATTTTTTGACCACCTAAATACCATATGATAGTCTATACAGTGAAGGGCTTTAATACCTATTGACGGCATATACCATCATACAGTAAATGTACCAGCAGGGTTTAAATCCGTGGCGGTATGAAGAAGCCCCAGGTATCTTTCAGTAACTGAGAGTCCCCTCTATCAGCTTAGGCCAAAGTTAGTTGCCCCAGACTGAGAGATGAGCTATGTGCAGTGCTCAAACTGCACACATAATGATTGCACTTAGCCTCGGTAGTACTAAGTGCGCCTTTAGCCAACCATCGTTTGATAACTAAGTGTCCTCGCTGTCAATTGGGGCCACAAGTAGTTGCCCCAAACTGAGGGATGAACTATGTACAGAGTTCTAAGTCAACGCTGCACATAGCCCTTTTTAATTAATGTAAACACTGCAGCTGAGCTCAATCTCACTCAGATGCAGTGATTTGACCTATACCTTCAGCCTGCCAGTGTCTCCCCAGCCTATTAATGTCCCCCCAATATCAGGGAGACCTCCAGGGTCTGATAAAGACCCTGGTAAGATCTCCCTCCATTTCCCCCTGCTCTTTGATCTGTGCTGGTCTTGGCCAGCTGCCCACTGTATGTAGGATCTGCAGCATGGATAGAAAAGCTATGAAATCCCTCTGCTGATGTCAGTACTGAGAGGTGGGATTAGGGGATGGATTGGGAGTAGGAATATGGGTGTAAAAAAAAATACAAATAATTGGTTAGTAATAAAATGGTTAAATGAAAGGTGTCAAAATATTAGTTAAATATCCTCCTGGGGGATGTGCTATATATATATATATACATATAGTGTAGATTGGATTAGCTGTATTAGTCTAGTAGACAAGATGCCAAAATACCAGAGTAAAAAATTATGTGGCTACTACTATAAGAATTATCTTAACAAGCAACATTTTGCAAAGTTTTAGCTTTAACCCCTTAAGGACCAAACATCTGGAATAATAGGGAATCATGACATGTCATACATGTCATGTGTCCTTAAGGGGTTAAAACCATAATTGACTCCTTGCAATCTTTATTTTATAATTTCAAAAAATGAATTATATTCTAGACATATTGGGCATATTAACAATCGACTAATTAGTGAATCTATTTCGAGTTAGTTTTCTTTACTTGCACTTGGTGTGTAGAAATTATTACATGTAAAACTGAGAAAAAATGTGTTTCCCCCTTAATTTGTTATATTTTATTCCTATTTAATATTGTGTTATGTATACAATATCACCAGAAAGCCCTATTTCTCTTGTAACAAATTATATGTAATATGTATGGGTTTCATTAAACCCTAAGAGTGAAATCGTGGTAGAATGAACACATGGCAAAAGTGACAAAATGCCTTGGTCACAGAGGCGTTGCATCTTAAAATAGTCTTGGGCATTAAGGAGTTACGTTTACCTCAGTTTAGTGCTCAGTGTTGATGTTATTTTTTATTTTATTTTAACTATTCTCTTTACCTTACCCCATACCTCCCAACTCTGGCGCCCCCTGCAAACCAGGATGCCGGTATGCAGGAATTAAAGGGGGTGGGCCAGAGACATGATTACATCACTAGCTTCACCCCCCAAAGTAATGGATCCGCCTGGAGTCTGCACGAGTTAATGGCAGGTTAGCCTGGCATGAATGCACTCCAGGCTGTCTGTCCATCATGGAGGCTGGCCAACTGCAGGGAGCACAGATCAGTTCTCCCTACAGGGTCCTAGTTTCCTAATCATAGAGCAAGTGTGTTTATTGATGCACTTGTGCCATGAATGTAGGGGACAATTCCATGGTGCCCCCCAAAAAAGACAGCAGGTAACTAAGACAGTGCACCGGGATAGGACACAAAAATCGGAACTGTCTCTCCGAATTCTGGACGATTGGGAGGTGTGTTCAGGATGATTGGGAGGCGTGCTAACCTTATTGCCCATAATAATTCCTACAGCATACAACAATTCTGAATGACGTCACAACAATAATAGACGTTCTTCCGAGTGGCAAAAGCCGAAGCGTTCTATTGAGCTTCTCTCCAGCGGATCACGGTAACAAAGGAGCTGTCACCATGTTGAGTGCTTTCACCCTGCGAGTCAGCGTCTCCTCTGACCAGGGCAGCAGGAAGTACATGGAGGATGTCACCCAGGTGCTAGCCCAGGGAGGACGAGCTGTCCTGGATGGAGGAAGAGGAGGTGGTCGGCCCCCAGGAACCGGATCAGGGTCCAGTGAGCCGGGCTGTGTCCCCGGGCAGTAGGAAGGGCTCCGGCAGGCTTTCTTCATGGTCTTTGACAGACATGGCTGCTGGGAAGCTGCACATTTCGCTTGGGATCACTTGTGGGGCTTCATCCGCAAACAGAAAGGCTTTGTGTCCCAGGAGTCGGGCTTCGTGGCTCGTCACCATGCTATGTGGAAGAAGCTGCATGAGTACCGGGGCACACTCTGTGTGGCTGGCAGGGGGGGGCACACTGGGTATGGTTGGCAGGGGGGCACTCTGGGTGTGGCTAGCATTGGGGTCGCACTGGGTATGGCTTGCATTTGGGGCGCACTGGGTATGGCTGGCATTTAGCTTACCTGAAAATGGAGAGACCTGAAGAGCACTTGCCCCAAATAATCTGCTCAAATCACACACAGAGTGTGGCAAAGGTAATCCAGAAGCTGCTAAGCAGAGTCGTACTCATCATCCTTCCCGGCACTGTGCGCAGGATTGTAAAGACACACTTGATGACACATTGTCCTCAGACACACATAGTGCTGTCATTATAACTGAGTTTTGTTAATTTCCTTGTTTCCTTTTTGGTAAAGTGAGTTGTCTTTCATGGACAGTTTTCACTTCAGGTCAGTGGAAGCCACTCGCATTCTGCCATCCGGAAGTATCTTGGTGCCTATTGTTTACAAACATTCTGAAATGCCGTATTCTTTTTCTCCTGTTTTTTTTCTTAATCTCACTCTCTAACATAGTGTGTTTACACCGCCCCCTAACTGGCTAATCATTTTGCCATATTCTTTAATGTGGCTGCTTTTTTTTTTAACATCTTATTTTTATCCCACTTTTACACTTCAACTTGTGGCATTCTTACACTCTCTGACTATTCCAAAATTTTTACCCAACCTTCTAAATCTATTCACTCTTTTACACTAGTAGTCCTTTTATATTTTCTTTTTATCTTTCTCTCACACTTCGCTTTATAGTTTTCCATCTCTAGCTACGTTTATATTGCTCTAACTGTAAATTATATAGTAAAATAAAATGTATTTTGCACCGTCCAAACGAATGGTGTCTATATAGTAATACCGTTTCAACAAATAAAATTATAATTAACATCCCTATATATATAATATTCCTGTCTGACATGTAGGGTACAAGAGATGTCTCTCGGGGTATAAAGTGTTCCTGTAAAATAGGATCCATAGGAGTGCTTGGCACTAACTATAGCCTGTGATATTGTATTACTCTAACCAGGGATAAAACCATTAGATGAAAATGCAGATTAAGGCAGCAATTATCAAGATCTTTTCTTCATTCATTACGAATTGTGTGCACTGTGTTAGTGCTGAAATAAATCTCTCAATTTTACTATACTTTATCCAACAAATTAATTTTATTCTACCCAACTGCTATCTAGCTTTCTATCTCCCCAGCTCACATCCACTCTCCCTCCTCTCGTTTCTCTCTCGGCAATATTGCCATTTAATTAATAGAATTCACCCAATTCAAGGAGATAATCTAATTTGCATAGACATTTTCACTGGGCTCCAATAGAAATGGTATTTTAGACTGTTAATGCTCATCGGCCCAGCAGAGTTTACAATCCCTTTTACTGACCGAGGCATGGGGAAATAAATTAACCTTTTCATGGTTATGAGTTTGTAAAGCACAGTTTCTCAACAAAAGGTTTAGACTTAAGCATTAGGTTTATATTTGATGCGCCCTTTGTACTTGAAGTGCGCAATGCAAGAAATGTAGCAATACTTTCTAGGTACAGTAGAACTGCGCAGGACATGCTACAAATCCTAGGGCAATGTTAACGGCATAGAGTGTCTTATCATGGGAATATCATAATTATGCAGAAAAATGTATGCCTTTGCCTTAGGCCTAAAGGGACGCTATAGGCACCCAGACAACTTGATCACAATGCAGTGCCCCTGGCATATTGCTCCCGCAGTGTAAAACATAGCTGGAGATGCAGCAGTTTTTTATTGCAGGGCTAAACACGTCTTTGTTACACTGAGTGCCACTAGTTGGCACTTCCAGACTTTATTATTAACATTCAACATTATCACGCATTTAGTGATGTCCCGAACTGTTCGCCGAACGGTTTGCGAACGGTTCGCCGCGGACTCATCATTGAGTAAGCTTTGACCCTGTACCTCACAGTCAGCAGACACATTCCAGCCAATCAGCAGCAGACCCTCCCTCCCAGACCCTCCCACCTCCTGGACAGCATCCATTGTGAAGCTGCATCCTTAGTGAGCTGTCCAGGAGGTGGGAGGGTCTGGGAGGGAGGGTCTGCTGCTGATTGGCTGGAATGTGTCTGCTGACTGTGAGGTACAGGGTCAAAGTTTACTCAATGATGAGTCCGCGTGAACCGTACGCAGCGAACCGTTCGGGACATCACTACACGCATTACATGAGGACATTGAACATCCTCTGATGCTTCCTACAGAGAAGCATTTGAGTGGTACGGTAATTGCCGCACATGCACTGCTTATCCACAGTGCTTTTTTATGAGAAGTATTGGATTGGATGAGAAGTCAAAGGGGTCAGAAAATAAAATGGGAGGAAAAACGGGGTGGTAGGGCGAGCTGCATAAACCTATTTTCAGTGCTTGAAAAAAATAATTAAAGCGTTATTTAATGTAAATGTTAAAACATAAAAAAGGCGGCCCAGGGGGTCCCAAAGATACCATTAATCTATATAAATGTAAAAATATATATATGATTTTTGACATACAAAATATTAGACATATATTCCCTTTAAATGGTTACTGTAAGCACAGTCACTATTTAGAATTATTGTAAAGAGCATCCTGCACCTATTGTCAGCTTCGAGTGTGTCTTAGAACTGCCCTTCAGACCTGTCAAGTAGGCAGCCGGAATGGTAAGCTCTAGTCTGCTTATATCAATTTTGTCCATGTTGTTCGTGCAGAGAATTGTTGTAGGTCAAGCTGGTTAAGGTTTCTAAATGGTTGGAGTGCGTTATGTGTCCGAGAGGTTGGAGATGGTTCATTAAAGAAGAGATGAAAGCATGTGTGAGCGTTAGTCCTCAGAGATTAAGCACCCTCATTTAGTATGCTATGCACAGCATGCAAGGAGAACAGGCAAGAAAATCTCCACCCAAGGTTGTTCTAATTTGTATAAAGCCAGGTAGGTTTGTTTGTTTTCATTTTTTTTAGCCTGCAAATATGCATGGCTGCTGGGAGTATAGTGCACTCAGAAAGTATTTACATTTTAATGATGCAGCATTATGCTTCAATCGTTTACAAAAAAAATTCCACATCATTCTACACTTAATATCCCACTCAAAGCAAAAAAAACCCCAACTTTTTATTATGCCACGGCAAATATATTAAACAGAAAAAAACTGAAATATCACATTGATATATATTTTGAGAATCCAGCTAAGTACTTAGTTGAAGCACCTTAGCCAGCGATTGCAGTTTAAAGTCTTTTTGGGCATGATGAGACAAGCTTTGAACACCTGGAATTAGGTCGTTTCTGCCGTTCATCTCCGCAGATCCTGTCAAGCTCTGTCAAGTTGCCACACCACCATGGTTAACCGTTGGGATGGTATTGCACAGGTGATGAGCAGTGTCTGATTTCCTACAGACACAACACTTTGAATCGTGATCGAACCTAGAGTGACCATCAGGTTCACTTCTATTTCAAAGCCCTTCTCCCCAATTGCTCCATTTAGCGTGGCGGCCAGCTCTCTAGTTTCCTTGTTATTCCAAACTTCTTCCGTTTAGGAATAATGGAGGTCACTCTCTCTTGGGAACCTTCAGTGTAGCCAATAATCTTCTGTAGCCTACCCCAGATCTGTCCTTGACACAATCCTCTTTGACTATTGCAGGCATTCCTTTGGCCTATTGGCCCGTGTTTAATCTGATATGCATTTACAGCTGTGAGACTTTTTATAGTCAGTTATGTGCCTTTCCAAATCATGTCCAACCAATCCAACCAATCAGAGCATAGAAACATCTCAAAGATGAGCCAGAGAAATTGGATGAATAGGAGCTACATTTCAAGTGTAAAAGCAAAGGTTATGCATACTTAAGTCAATGTAATATTTTTAATTTAAATTTTTTTAAATATATGATTTTGGCTTTGTTGCTCTAGGGTAGCATGATTTGAAAAAATGATTTAAACCAGATTTTTATTATTTTTAGCATATGGCTGCAACATAAAAATTAAGGGTATTGATACTTTCTATACGCAAGAAATAAAATATCATAAACACCAATTATAATGTTTCCCTTTTATATATTGTAATTATAATGTAATCCCTTTTAGTAAAAACCACTTAAGCAAATGAATCAAATAAAAAAAGCAAGCAACAGTAAATATAAATCAAGGCGAGCCTCCTTTATTGCTGCCAACCAGAAGCGGGCCCAGCAGAATTCCCCTGCTCCTCTTATCAATCATTGACAGCAGTGAAAGATCACTTCCTACAATTTTTATTATGTTAACTTAACCACTATTTATGGTGGCGTTAATATCCATAAATGCATTGCATATTGATACGTTATGGTCAGGGTGCAATAAATGCAAGAATTGAAAAATAAAAAACATATTTAATGCATTGTGCCAAAAACTCTTTAAACATTAGACAGAAAATTGTCATGCGTTGTAAGTTTCAGATAAGTGACCGTTCCACTGTAAGTACTTTTAACTTAACTTTCACATTGCCTTCCCAGATGTGAGGGAATATGGCAGGTCATTCCACTGCCTCCTACCTTGTTATCAAGGGGTGTAGAAGACATTTATTTTACATGTGCATTTTCATTAATGTTTATTTTAACTCTTTGTATGTGTGTATATATATATATATATATATAAATATATATAATTTTTTTACATTTTTTTTTTTTTTTAAGATTTCACCTGCAAAAAGCAGGACACTGAAATCACAACATTTGTCTACAAGTGGTCAATTTCCAGAGTGATTTATGGTCACCTGACGGATTTTTATTGATTTAATTTAAATCATTTTAATGTTAATTCATTAGCAAAAAATTGAATTGTTCTGAAGCAGTGTAGTTCATTCTGATCTACTATCTGAATTGGTCCCCAAACTGTCTCCAGTGAACTCATTAATCATAATTTCACTAAAAACACAAAAGTTATTTATGTATTTTAACATAACATTGCTGTTGCACTGCGTCTTCAATGATGGCTTGAGGCACACCACTCTATGGACACAAACTCAAAGCATAGAGTATATTGCTATACCCCATACTGTACTTATGTGAATCATTCTAAACAGAGCCGTCATTGGGCCCTGCTCATTAGAGCTGATTAGAGCACTCTCTCTCATGTTTTTTTTTAATTTTTATTCTTTATTTATTTTATTAAGATGTACATTTGGAACAAGCATAGCATACTGTAGTTAGACAGCGGTGTTGCCTTGACACTTGGTAGACATTCCCCACTTCATGTTTCTGCTATAGTCTCTCTTATTTATTTCTTTGGTTATTCTCCAAGTCAATTATGCTTCCATTTCTGCTACTTTAGCCTTACATTTGAAATCACCTTGAATTCATTTAAAAAAACAAAAACCTGACTATTTTTACTTTATTGAATAACCCTGTTAGAATTCCAAGTTTACTTTAAAAAGGAATGCCTATACTTTACATCTTCTTTTCTCGCATTCACTTGAATAAGAGATGTCGGCCAAGTGTGGATATTTTAAATCTAGCGTGATCCATGTGTGAGTATAGAGAACTGTTGTGGGATTTGATGTAGAATTTAGGTTGAAAGAATAAAAACTGTTTCTGTAAAAGAGTTTCTATGCGTGGGAATGAAGTGGTTTTTAACAGTACACAGAGCCCGGCAGGTTCTAAAGACTAAGCTTTTCAAACCCGCTCTGAGAATTAGTGGGGTAAGATTATAAATGGAAATATCTCGTGTTTTATCTTCGGGAATATAGACTGTTAGAAACAAGCTGTCACAGATTAAATGAATGGGACATAGAGATATGGAAGGTCGGGGTTTATGGGGTTCATAAACCTTACTGACTTTGTTACTATAGAAACAAACAAACAATTAATGTACCAAGTGGGTGGCATTTAGCAAGTAAACCTATCTAGTAGAAATGGTGGGTATACACCTGGCTAATAACGCTCTGCAATAATACTTAAACAGAACACCAAGATTTCAGGGTGTAATGAAAATGGTGTTTTTTAACTAAACAATGAATTGTGGTAAATTACATTTAAAATTGCAGAACCCAAGCATTTAGTAAATATACCATGTGTTTTACTATTTTGTTACAAGTTTTCCAATTTGGTTTTCAATTCATTGCAATTCACAGAATCAATGTTAATACAGAGTGCGTATTTTAAAGGAAAAGGAAATAAACTTAAAATTAATTTGCTAAAATTTGGTGTTTAGTGAATAACCTGTATGTGAATCACTACCATTTTCCTATAGATGTTAATTTTTATGCATTTTTTGAGGGGGGCCTGATTGCTATGTGAAACAGTTGCACTTTGAGTGAGCTCTGCACACAAAATCATAAAAGCATCAATATATTGCCTTTTTTTTCTGAGAAAATCAAACTTTGTTCAACTGGTGACATCTTGCTACTTACTGTGACTCACTTTGAAGCTGCTCGACACGCCACAGGCGACTTAAACCCAACATTAATACTGCTGCCTACCTGCAGAAGATGGCGAGGGAGTGGCAGCCAATCTCCCAGATGGAGCACGCAGATGCAACATGGCTCCCCCCCTCCGCCAGTGAGGGATACCTACTTACTCATCCACTGGTAGTAACGCGACCGTAACAATATCTCAGGTTCCAAGATGGCAGCCACACAAGGTATGCTGGGGACTATGTTGCGGCTGTAATTGATCTTCGCAAAAATTTGGACGAAGCTGAGCAATCTACTGGGCCAGATTGTGGGGCTGAAGAATAATGATAGCTTGCCTTACCACTCACCCCCCCAATACTAAATTATGTACGCCAGGCTTGGCTCCACCAAAGATCTCCATACATATGCACCAGAAGAAGAGATCCAGACCATTCCGTTCCTGAATGGGTCCCGGACAGTCCACCTCCCGGTACCGCACTCTCAGGTTGAGGGCCTTGAGGGGCTATACCCCAGTGCAAATCGCACATTAGTGAAGAGAGTATCCTCAACACCACACAATGTCTATAGACCCCCTCGCCCCCAGGACATGATCCACAGTCCAACTTATCAAGACTTAAGACCGGCAGAATGGACAGCTATGGCCGCGGGGCCTATGTCATGTAGTGTTACCCAAATTGTGTGCATGGGGATAGGGTGAATGGATCACAAACATGCCAGAGCGTGTGATAGGGATGCTACTCTTGTATACCCTTATGATTTACTTGTGTTTTCCTCTTTAATTTGCGTAAATCGGTTACTACCCAAGCTAAGCATGCTGTTGATGCATGCTATATGCAGCAACTTATATTAATACCTACAAACAGCACTGAAATTATTTAGCCTGTTTTAGTCTCATATTTGTCTTACCTTTTGTCTAGATTTTGTTCTTGGTTAGCTAATCGCAGGATGTTCATAATCTAGACATATCTGACTAGCCTGATTTATCATATACAAAAAAATGTGTGCACGTCATCTGAATGTCAAGACAATGTCACATTGTGTTTGTTATTGCAATGTTTGCCCCGCTGTTGTGGCATTGCAAGCAGATCTATACTCTGTCTCCACAACCAAAAAAAAAAGATTGTCAAAAAATAAAAAGTTTATGCATTTTAATAAAATCCAGATAATAACCGTTTGCTCTGGACTGTTTTTATTCCGGTATATACTATGCTTAAAGGGGTACTGTAAGCTTCAAAACAACTTCATCTTATTTGAGAGTTTTTCATGCATAGTCCCTGTCCCCTCTGGGTGGCAATAAGAGAAATGGCAATGTTTAAATTTTACTATAAACAGACCACTAGAGTCACTCCCTAGCTTTAAATATTCTATAGTCTATAAATTCAGTGTTATTATGCACAGCACGATACATTAAAACATTTTGATGCACTTTGATGGTAGGAGTTATCATCTGGACAGATGATCTTAGAAGAGGAGTGGCTGCAGGATAAAAGGTGAATAAAAACATTTTTGTTTTAAATCCAATTTAAAAGTGTGAGAGAGGGCTGGTAGTCTAAATCTAATCAAATTTAATTTTAGCAAATTACATTTAAAAATCAAAATTGAGGCTAAAATAGTGTTATGGTTTACTTGATACATTTCTCCTAATTGGCTATATTATGTTCTGAATTTAATTTGAAATGGGATGTAACAAAATTTAGTTTTTATTGAATAACCATGATAACGTGGATCTTTTTAGCGGAATCTAGCCCTGTATGTGGACAATTCTGTTTAAACCCAAGAATTAAAAACAGACGCAATTACAGATATGTATTCTTTCATTTTTTTTGTTACAGAGGTAAATAAAGGATATAAAGTATTTGTAGTTATACTGGGTCTCAAACATTGTAATTCTTAGACCAGGTTCTGAATAAATTGAGCAGAGGATTTTACATTTTGGACATGTAATAGTTGAAACAAAGTAAACAAACGCTTTACAGTGTGAATCCCCTTCATCAGGGCTCAAAATTTAAAGGCCTATACTATTAGACAGGCCTAAAAGATACTGGCCACTGAAAGCCTGGAGGGTCCATGACACTCTCACTAGCGATGTATTTTCACTTGCCAATGTCTAGTTGGCGAGTGGAATTTTTGAGCCCTGAGCCTTTGAGTATCGTATTTGAGTAAGACAGTTCCTGTATAGATGCCCAAAATGTTTGCCAAGTGCCTGTCATATGGCTGAGTGTATTATTCTTTAGAAGTGTTTACTGAAAAGCAATAATGGCAGTTAATTATAAAAGTAATTTTGGAACAAAATTCATAAAATGATTGTGGCGCTATCACCATTGTAACGAGTGGAATGTTCCTGATGTTGATGATCATAGAAGCAAAGGAATATTAAATCCAAGGAGTCAATGGACCAGTATAGCCATAGTATAAAACACTTTAGTATGCTGACTTTTAAAAATGTTGTCATTTAATCTTTGTCACTATAGCAGTGCTATAATTTGAAGCATCAAAATACATTGTCTGTATATTGCCAATCATAATGCAAATCTCATTACAGTGATGTTGAGGCAGAATATAGCAGTGTAGTAGGTATAGAGTTAGATTCCGAAGTGATTGAGGTTAAGGGGTATTAAGTACAAACACAATATAAAGCACCGCGCTAACAGCAGCAATAGCTTAGTATCCAACAGCTCAAAATACATAGTAAAAACAAAGAGCCTCCATTTTGTTTAAATGTACATAGGGATTTAGGCCAGAGCGCAGGTAACGTTCTCTTTGTTTTAAGAGGTATTAAGACCTGCTTCATGCTGAAGACCTGACTGGACCCTAGTAGAGACAGTATAAATTATGTCATGGTTAAATGGTGCTGTAATGCCGCTGTATTTACTCTATCAATGTACCAATATATATAACTCACAATTTCAACTATATTTGAATTTTACAAGATCTGGTATGTTTTACCATGCAGAAAACAAACCTAATTATGATAAAAGAATTCAACATAGGTTTTCAGCTAGTAAAATTTATTTAGAAATGAACCATGCCTTTGCAGGGTTAAAGGGTTAATCCAAGCATTATGACCACTTCAGTGATTTGAAGTTGTTATGGTGTCTTGAGTCTGTATGTGCAGTATATATATCAAAATATATCTTATATATAATGCCATACTAAGTGCATGCAGCAGCTCTGGCCACCCCGGCCCTCCAGGGCCATGTAATCACCATGATCACATCGCCGCAATAGCAGTCTAGGAGCTGCAGGGGACTGTCAGACAGTCTGCCAGGCTGCTAAAAAGTAAAAAAATAAAAATAAATATATTATACATATATATGTATAATATAATATATAATAATTAAAGCATTTTACAATATATTATACATATATATGGTTTCATTATTAAGTGTACTTTGAGATATATAGATATATATCTCAAAATACACTTATAATGAAATCATATATATGCATTATATATGTATAATATATTGTAAAATGCTTTAATTATATTATATTATACATATATAGGAAATCAAAGTGTGTGTGTGTGTGTGTGTGCGTGCGCGCGCGTATATATATCTTGATCTTGATAAAGACCCTGAAGGGTCGAAACATTGATATAGAGGTGGTGATTTTTTGAAATATATTTTGGAAATCCAAGAGAGTGCTCCTGTTTTCATTATATATATATATATATATATATATATATATATATCTCTGTACTCAGGTGATGTTGATGCACACATGTCGGGATGTTATTTGTCAATAAGACATGGTAGGAACTGATAATCTATGCCTAAAGTACAATGTGAGAGAAAAATAACACAAAAAAATGACTGGTGGTAGAATTAGTGTATGGAAAGTGTTAAAATACCACCATTTGAAATACCCTAGGGTGTCTACTTTTCAAAAATATATGGTTTGATGGGGGTAAATTACATTGGCCGGCTTCAAAAATGTCCCAAATAGGACATGGGTGCATGATGACCAGCTGTGAAAATTCCAAGTTGGAAAACTGGAATGCGCATCATCCAAATATGGTCTTTTAGCCCCCAGAGAACCTGACACACCTATACATGGGTGGTATCCCTGTACTCAGGTGATGTTGCTGCACACATATTGGGGTGTTCTTTGGTAGTAACCCTTAAAGTTCTCCGTACATGTATTCTTAAATTGCTATGTGTGTCAAAAAAATCACCAATTATAATTTTGGTGGTAAAATGGTTGCATGAAAAGAGTCAAAACACCCCACGTTTAATACCTGAGGTTGTCTTCTTTTAAAAAATATATACATGTGAAGGGTTATTCAGGAATTCCTGTCAGATATCAGTGTTACAATGTATCTTGCGTTCATTTAAAAAAAAAAAAAAATGGTTTGGAAATAGCAAAGTGTTACTTGTACTTATAGCCCTATAACTTTCAAAAAAAAGCTAAGAACATGTTAACATTGGGCATTTCTAAACTCAGGACAAAATTTAGAAACTATTTAGCATGGGTGTTTTTGGCGGTTATAGATGCGTAACAGATTTTGGGGGTCAAAGTTAGAAAAGGTGTGTTTTTAAAAATATTTTAGAATTATTTTCTTTAGAAAGACCATTTAATGGCGAGAAAAACGGTATATAATATGTGTGGGTACGGTAAATGAGTAAGAGAAAAATTACAGCTAAACACAAACACAGCAGAAATGTAAAAAGAGACCTGGTCCTTAACGGTAAGAAAATTGAAAAACGGTCTGGTCACTAAGAGGTTTAACTTGACTTCTGGCAGCATTATTGAGGTGTCATAAGCTAGGCCAGAATAATAGTACTGGGCTTGCTAATGTCAATTCTGTGCACATGTACCTGCACAGTGTGCCATTCACTGTCTGAGAGTGGTCAGTTGACAGTCTCAGCCAATGAATGGCGACTGGATCAGTTTCCTGAAGTGCATCATCAGAGGGGAAAGTTACCTCAGAGCCCAGCATGGACCCAGGTAAAATTGCAAACCAATGCTAAACAGTTTGCCCTATTACCAGGCAAAAAAATCCTTCTCAACCCTAGGATGCCAGTCAGATCTCTCATGGGTCAAGAAACTGTTGACCCACATATTAAATATTATATTACTGAATGTTATGTTTTTGCAAGAATTCATCCAGTCGCTGTTTAAAGGTGAGGTACAAATTTCTAGTTTGGTACCTGAGAAGTTTATATTTTGGATTTATATTGGTTAGCAGTTGAAAGCCTAAATGGGCCCTCTCTCTCTGATGTGAGGGTTTCGTCCTGTGCTTATTGCATATGTAGGATAAACATTTACATATGTTAGAATGATTATGCGTGTGTAATTTCCCTATCAGTGCCTTTACTACTGCTTATCATTGGATTCTGCAATTATATCTAGATCATTGGTGCTAAAGAAGCAACGATGTAGGATAGAGATGTTGATAAAATCTGGACCACTGGAGGGTCCTAGAAGGTTTGTACTTTGTTTGGTCTATGCTGTATGGATTTAGGGAATAAAAATAAAGAAAGACTTCGGCCTTGTGACTAGCAGGACTTAGGCCAAAATAGACAAATTAAAGATATTTTTTAAAACGCAAATATTTTGGCCTAAGTACTGAACATGGTTCGAATGTTGCTGTGGATAACCCCAAAAGGGAAACAAATCAGATCTTTAGAAGCAGAAAATCTTCACAGCGCATGACATCATTAAGAGATTTGGCCCTTGGTTTTTAGATGGGTGACAAGTGGTTTAGTAATTTATAATACTAAATTAAATTGGCTTATTTAGTGTCGCTTTAAAATGTCAAATAAAGCAGATTTCAGCTGATGATGACCAGTGATTAATGGTATATTTAAACCCTTCACAACAGATGATGCACTCATGATATCATTATATTTGCCTAACCCTTTATCCTAGGAGGTTAATCTGCATCACACTGCTCTCCTTATGATGTTTAAAATGCATATAATGTTCACAGTCCTGTGTAAAAAGGACAGATTGTTAGTGCACTAGTCAGTGCAAATCTAGATCTGAGGTGATAATTATTCATGTGTCCATCTTGAACATTCAAGCTGTTTGTTCTTAGTTCAGTATTTATGTTTGTATGTATATTTTATTTCTGTTTAGCTGACAGCGGTGCCTGGCCCTTTAAAGATTCCATTACAGAACAGGGGAAGTATACTATACTTAGCACTTAACATGTTACATTTCTGTAGAGGGGAGGGTACAGTGTAGTAGTTATACAGTGAATGTTTGCAATGTATATACTATTAATAATATTTCAAGAACCCAGAATGGCTATTAATGTGTCAACCTCCACCATACAGTTTGGGGATTTGAAGACATGACCCATCTGTGGATATAATGGGGAAAAATACCTCCATTGGTTTCCTGTAATATGTGATTCTCTGTTATGCATCGAGGAGAGACAAAAAAATAATAAAAAAATAGGTACGTACACAGTGTACACACTGCATTACTGTATCTCTCTCTCCTGTACTAAGTAGAACTGTCAGCAGTGTATAAATAAAGCATGCATGTGCACACATACAGTATATATACATCTCTTGTGATACCCTGGCCCTATTGTGAGCAAGGCGTACATTATGTAATATAGCCGCTGACCTTGATCAGTATGATAGACGCCCCTAGGTCAGTAGCTGGTCCCTAGGTCAGTAGTTATCCATTGTACCAAGATGATGGGTTCTATGTTACGTTCATAAGAAAGTCCGATCCCTCCCATGTTACCCACTTTGCTGGTCATACACACGCGATGAGACCTATTGTGGGTTCTTAAAGGCAGGCCCAGAGTTGAGGTTATCTCTGTTAAAGAACTGGAATGTCATTGAAAAACACTAATCCAATTACTGATCCACAAAATATGGCCTTGAAGATCCTAATGTAGCTATCAGCTGTTGTCCCCCTCCCCTCCTTACAGACTTCACAATATTATGTCTAACCTATGTACCACAACAGACATCATCACATCCTGAGCTCACAATGTGGGGATTAAAATAGCCAAACATAATACATGTGATCTTTTTGCCATTTTATAATAAAGCAATTCTACTACATCACAATAAGGTGCAGCATTTCAATGCCTGCTTCATATTATTCACATCTAACTTTTCCTATTTGACCTATGTTTTTACCCTGCCTGTAGCTTGACTAGCCTGCCTCTTTTCTCTCTGCCTGTTGTCAGACTACAACACCCACTAATTGCGGCCATCCATGACTGCTTAAGCTTCTGTGCATTTGCACTCCTGATCGAAAAAAGGTGAACAATTCTCAGGGTCCAGTATGCACCATGCTTCTACATGGGTGAATGGGTTAGAGGAAATCCGTTATTTTATAAAACGAAAGATACACTGCAACTTAATTTCCTTTGCAATTGAAATACGTAACCATTATGGTGCTTCTTAGTAAAACCAAGAAAGTGTTGTCTATTGGGGAAAAATCTCTTACATGCAGCCGATATGATTTATAGAGCAGTTTTGCAATTCTGCACATGTGTAGGCACTCCATGCATGCTGTCTTATGCCACTGGCTTATTCACCATTTAGATTGTGTGTTTGCAGCCACACTTTGCTTCTACAAAGGATTTTAAAATCTACCTTTACAGTGCTTTACCTGTAAACTCAGTGCATGTTAAAACAGAATGTAAGCTCTTTGGGGAGTTATGGGCTCCTCTCATTTGCCATTGAACTACATGCACAAGATAGAGTAAATTTGGCAGTCAGTAAATGCCAAATCTGTAAATAAAATGGACTGTGTCTCCGTTAACCCATCGTGTTGCATTGTCTGTCCATCCTCTCCAGGAAATGGAACAGTGAACCCAATTAAACTGAGGTGGTGCATTTTAATATAGTTATGAATACTCCAGTGTGGATATGGAGTAGGAGGGCTAGTATTAGCCCCTAACTTCTCTTACACAAATATATTGATGACAAATATTTCTTACTTAGCCTGTCCAGCCATGTACAGATCTCCACCCTCCTTCCCCTGTAATCCCCTATTATTCCATCCTTGTCATTAAAAAGCTACCTTGTTCTGTAGGTCTAAACTCAACAGCAACCCCCCATTTTCCCGTTTCATTCTTACCTTTGAGGATGGGGGCCTGAAGACCCTTGGAAGCAAATAGGAGAAACGCAGGGAGGCAGAGGGAGAGATGAGCAGGACCCCCACAGTGTACACTAGGCATTGAACCCCCTCACAATAAAACCCTGATGATGCCCGGGGAGGACAGAGCTTGATGCTGCTTCAACTGCTGTTCCCTTGGGGTGAGAGGAGAGATAAAGAAAGGAGGGAGAGAGGAGGATAATGAAAAAGAGCAACAGAGGGATACACTTGCAGCCTGACACCGTACACAAATGACAAGGAGCACGAGAGAGCGAAAAGGACAGAGAATGCAGCTGAAGGCAGAGAGAGGGAAGCCCAGAGAGAGAGTGGGAGTGAAGGAGAGACTGCTCTTTGATGACAAACACTCACTGCTCTAAGACGACCAAGCAGGCAGAAAGCATCTCTGTGTGCACAGTCACACAGTACCATGCACGTACCATTACAGCCACACACACACAATGCAATACATATACCCTTACAGCAACACATATACCCTTACAGCCACACACTCAATGCAATACATATAACATTACAGCCACACACACAATACAATTCATATACATTGCAGTTACACACAATGCAATACATATACCATTACAGCAACACACACAATGCAATACGTATACATTACAGCAATACATATAACATTACAGCCACACACACAGTGCAATTCATATACATTGCAGTTACACACAATGCAATGTATATACCATTAAAGCGACACAGACAATACAATACATATATCATCACAGCGACACACACAATGCAAATTCATATACGATAACTGCCACACTCAATACAATGCATATACCATTACAGTCACACACACAATGCAATAAATATACCATCACAGCCACACATAATACAATAAATATATCATCACAGCCACACATAATACAATAAATATATCATCACAACCACACACACACGCAATGCGATACATATGTGTTGTGTATTAATATTGTTTTTGTATTTAGAAATGCAGATACACATAAGTCATATACCGTTACATACACACACAGTGCCTTGCGCTTCTTCATAGCCATTCAAGTACAATACCATGTATTTGCAACTCTAGACAAACACTCACATTGCCATGCATTTATCATTATAAGTGAGCATACACAAACACACATTTACACAACACCATAAATGTACTATTACGTTACACATACTCCTACAGCACTAATACAGACAAACATTTATCTATAGAGCACCATGCACACACAGAACAGATATATTATCTGGCATAATTCCACACACATGTGAGACTTTTGTGAGGAGGCCTGTTCACTTGCTGTTCCTATATGTCATACATGATTTGTAAGATTTCATTGCTTCTTTACTGCGCTGTGGAATATGTTTGTGCTATATAAATAATTGTAATTCTATACATACATACGTATGCAAGCATGGAGACACACCAAATTTATATACATAATATTATGTATTTTATAATAATCATAAATTACGTACACCTTTATAGCACACAGCCATATAACTACGATTTGACAACTATGACAATTTGATTTAATTCCGTCATGTGGAGGGAATTATAGAGAAGTAAAGGGGGAGTTAAAGGTAGGAGATAAATCAACATTAGTGTGTGCGGTCTTGGCAGGGTTTTTAGCAGCCTTCACCTCTGCTCAAAAATAGCCTCTGTGTGAAGTAGCGAGAGAGTCACACACACACACAGCGTGGAATGACGCACAAGGAAATCTTTCTAATGCATGGGATGGCAACATGTGGCACACCATTTGTTATTGGAATGAAACAGCAGAGTATGTTGGTAGTTGCATTGCGGCAGTTGTTATAATGCAGGCTAGCTCTGCCTGTTTCTGTGAGTTGATATCTGTAGATTTAAGTTGGAAGGTGGTAAGGAGACAAATTAGAGAAATCATTCTGGGAATTGTTAGGTGACTAATTTTGAGTTACGTTAAGCACTATTTTATACGTAAGGGTCAAAACAAAATGCAGAGTCTCCGACATCTATTCAGAGCATTTTACAGCAGTTAGCCATATACTCTTAAATGTAAGTGCTGCTTATATTGAGGCACATTTGTAAGCTGTTAATGCAAATCATCCAGAACCCCGTGTGCATCAAATTTAAAAGATGAACTTGGAGCTGAAAACTAATTGTATTCACTGGTGAGATTCTAATTATTTAGAGCTTTTCTGAACCACATAAGCATTGCAGGAATAATAATCATAAAAATGCCTACTGAGGTGTACTATCCCCAGAACGTTTGTGTGGCTTACTGATGCTTTAAATTAACAAGGTGTCACTAGTGAACACAGTTTGTCACCAGGTGCCTCTTAAAATTATATTATTGTAGTGCTGACAGGGAATGGTAATTCTGTTACATGACAGCAGCCATGTGATTTTTCATTTTTATACACCAAATGGTACTGCACTGCACACAAGGTAGAAGAAGGGGGGAGAACATTTGCCATGCCTGTCCCTAGGTTAATAATGGACTCTAGGAGATTCTCTAGGTAGAGAGATCTGATTGTCTCATGGACCAAAACCATGTTTTGTTTTGTTGTTGTTTTTTTCTGTGTCTCTGGCTGAGAAGAAGTTTTACTGTTTGCCAATGTCTCTTGTCATTTTCATTAAGTTTTCTTTTCTCTTGGTGTCAAGCAAACTAATGCCTGAAATAAACATACTCTGAATTTGGTGTGGTTGCTTTGGATGTCTGCCTCCATGACATGCTGGTAAATAGTATAGTTCTATTTTTATATTTTTTTTATTTGTTATTTTTGTAGTGCTGAAGAGTATACAATCACCTGCTTAGTCACAACAACAAAGCAGGCACATTAGATAACACAATTATACAGGTTGCAGGAAGACAGAAATAGTGCGCAGAGATGTACAACTGTGATGGAACAGCACGATTTATTTTAGTAGAAATAGTGAGAGAGCATGTTAGTGAATACTACATAACAGTATGGTAGTTAGTCAAGATTACGCTTACGTTCTCTGTGAGTTGTCGCTATCATACCCATGTGTGAATAGGACACTGAAATAAGCAGGTATCACAAAATATTAAAGAGAACTAGCAGTAGATTAGATAGGTTGTGGGGAGTGTGAGTGTACAGAAGGAGTCTGAAGCATGAGCAGGTCTGCAGTGCCAGAGGTAAGTAAGGCACAGTGTCCACACAGCTGGGCAGCACTTAATTGAGAACATTGGGCAGTCATCCTATACCCAGGTTGGGTAGGCTCTGTACACTTTCGAGCAGTCCACCTGCATGATCGGCTCTGCTATGCCACAGGTGAGCTTCTTCCTCCCAGTCCCAGACCAAGGGATCAGGATGGCTTCTGGTGTCGCTTGTTTTTGAGGGCAAGGAGATGGGCCACCTCTCCCCGTCTCCGTCCCTGATATGCCATAGCTAGCTTTCTCCGGCTCCTGGCAGCATAAACCTATGGGAGGGGTGTTGTGAAGCTTGCCCGAGAGTCCCTGACCTATTATGGGCGCAAGATGTTATGTGGCAGCGGTGAATTTGGGGCATATACACACTTTTTAAAGCAAGCTTCCAGGAGCTCCAGTGCCACACGTCTAGTTAGCTTGAAGGTCAGGCCAGTATAGTTCTTTTTTGTGGCTTTGACCACAACTCTATTTTTAAGGTTTTTTTGTTTTGTTTTGTATATGCTGTTTATTTCTATAAACAATTAAATTGACCTGCATATATTTTTACTTTATTTCTGGCATTGAGCTCCTTGAGTCTTAGAAGAAGTGGAAACAAAGAAGTGCACATTTTGGCCAAAATAGCTAAACTATAAAATCTTTCCCACTTGGCTATTTTGGTTTCATTGTTAATTCTCCACTTTTCACTTTAATGTAAATGATTTACTTCTAATTAGATACCTGTCCCCTTCTTCAAGAAAGTTTAGCAACCCTAATGTTCTTCTAAAGGATTGTGGGAAATGAAAGTAATTTTCTCCCCCGTGTTCCCTTTTAATGCCTCTCTCTCTTTCTACATGCTTTTAATGAAACTTATTTACTTCTTTCTCTATTTCTATCTCCCCTTGTTTGTCCATCTCTCTTTTGTTTGCTCATTTTGTTAAGGGATTGTACATGGTATTATAGTAGAGAAGCTGTCTTCTGAATGTCACCCCCCTATAATTACCCTGGCATTGCCAGCCCTGATTACCCATCTGTTAGTACAACTGGCTCTGCCTCCTTCCCTCACATTTCTTGTGCTGTAAAAAAACTGCAAACAGCTAGCTGGAGCTTCACTGATACCGGTTATAGCTAACTTTAAGCTCGTATAATTACCAGGTCCTCTAAAAGTGGATAGAACGTTAGTCTATAAAAGGGATTTTGCATCACACTGTAGGGATCCAACTCGGTCTTAGGAAACAGACGTATATTCTTTTTTATTCTTTTGCTTTCTTTTATCCATTGCAAATTGGTAAAAAAATATTTTCATCAGGAAGTTCTGCTCGCCACCACAAAACTACTCTCAAACCACAAAACCTGCATCTCCTACATGTTTCAAGCCACAAAGTGAAAACAAAACCCATTTCACCCTTCAGACCGACCATCAAAAAACTCTTTAGTTGAAGACAGGACATCATCAGAAATTTCCTTTTTGACTTCAGCACCTTGGACAGAAGTCTCACACACAGCGAGGGCAGTCTCGTCAAGTAATGAATCCTTTTTTAAAACTTTCAAGAATTGAAAATATTCCATAGTGCTGATTGTAACCCAATTGCAGGGCCAATTGTAATTACATGCCAGGTGGAAGATAACATGTATATTAGCAAACTGCAAAATCAGACTTTTGAAGACCTTAAAGGGACACTGTAGGCACCAGACCACTTCAGCTCATTGACGTGGTCTGGGTTCCAACTCCCATCACGCTTAACCCTGCAAGTGTCATTATTGCATTTTTTATAAACTGCAATAATTACCTTGCAGGGATAAGTCCTCCTCTAGTGGCACTGTACTAGACAGCCACTAAAAGGACTTTCGCCTTCTTAGACAACTTTTGGTCATATAAACGACGCTGGATGTCCTCACGCTATGCATGAGGACCTCCAACGTCACCGGAATCCCGGTTGACGGAATAATTGAATAATGCCGCACATTAGGTCTCCCCTGCCGGCGGACATCGGCGGGGGAGGAGCATGGGCGGAGGCTGACCCAGCACCGCGGGACATCGGCGTTGGATTCAGGTAAGTGTCTGAAGGGGTTTTAACACCTTTATGGGTGTGGGAGGGAGGGGTCACTCCATGATTCTCTAGTGCCAGGAAAATGGGTTTGTTTTCCTGGCACTAGAGAATCCCTTTAAAGCTGCTTCAGTCAAGGATAGAGAGTACACTCAGCGTTGGTTCTACTGGTTGGAGTTCCTGTCTCCAGATTACTTTTTCAGAATTATTACGGGCTAACAAGAAATGACTCACACAGAGATCGGCAGTAGTGTCCCGTATGACAATGCACCTCACTGACCTGCTACTCGCCACCCCCTTTTTACACTAGCTTTTACTCAACTTTGCGTTCCTTTCCTAACTTGCATGGGCTAGCATGACTCGTCCTCTGGGCAGGAGGCCTTGCCCACAGGGGGGTGCTTGTAGGGGGTACAGCAACTGCTCCCTTTTTTTGACTCGACTGGGAGCGATGTCCACATTTACCCACACACAATTTTAAAACAAAGCTTTCACCAAACCCCCCCCTCCCCACCCCCAAATACCAAAATGAATATATTTGCATACACATGATGCACTTTAGAAAAAGCATAAAGAGGTCCAAGGGGCAGTGTCTAGTACCTCTTGTATTATCACAGAGGTATCAAAATTATTACATGATAACTATTAGAATGCAAGACAGAGTGGAATGGCCCATCTTTTTTTGGAAGATGATGCAGAACTGGACCATAGTTTGGCAATATTTATGATAAACAGCAAATACATACACTGGAGTGCAGCTCTGTTAAACTCTTAATAGGTTTAAAAACCATATGGCAGTGTTCCCATAATTACACCACTCTGTTAAGTCAGATGTACAGTACAGAGGAACAGTGAGAGAGTCAACTGTGTTATGTTCTCCATGGACCTTGGAATTGTGCCCCAAGAAAATATCAGCCTCATTCTTCCATAAGGGTGATGGTGAGTATCAGCATCTGGTTCATTACATCATGGGTTTTTCCAAATGTACTTGATACTTCCTCGTAAGCAAGCTGGTAAAATTGAACATTACCAACTCAACTATTTTGTCACAATATGCTGTTTAGTGAATAAACACATTTAAGGATGATAATAATGCTTATAATGAAAGACTGTTTTCTTATGTCCACGAGCATATTCATTACATTCACAATGAGATTCTGTAGAAGTATATTAGAGTATTCCATTCTCCATCAATATATCACTTAGTAAATCTGTGCTGTTCGGCATGTTATCAGGAATACTATATCCTGGGGTCTTTGTGACTATGCCTTTCTGAAGGGCTAAATGATTTTTGGTCAGTGGGAACTTGGCATGGCTGGTAATTTATGGCAATGTATCTATATTTGTGGATGAGTGACTCGGGGAATAATTTTACATTTTTACTGCAGGAAGAGAGTGAGAGGTGGAAGCGAGGGAAGGTGAGAGGAGAGATGCAGGCGGCAAACAAGGGAGTAAATATTCTTAGCTCAGAGTCAACTGATCGTATTAACCTCTTCTTAGCCCCCCAAAAAAACTGCACATATATTTTAAAGCTATACTTAACACAATTGTTTCAGCAATTCACCGAAGAGTGTCTTATATGCCCCAGAAGTATATGCTATGGAGGGAGGAGGAGAGATGTGGGAACAGCAACCATATGAATTAAATGATGTAAAACAACAGAATAATTGATTTTGCAGACTTGCTAAATTCAGTTAACTAGTGTTTATTGTATTTGTTCTGGTGAGTATAATCATTCCCTTTAGGCTTTTTGCATTAAGCACTGTTTTTGCAGAGAAAAGGCAGTATTTACATTACAGCCTAGGGATATTTCCACTGGCCACTCATTAGATGGCACCTAGAGACGCTTCCTGGGGCAATGCTGCACACTGATCAGTACTGCCATTCACTGTCTCCATCCTCTGCATACAGACACTGAACTTTCCTCATAGAGATACATTGACTCAATGCATCTCTGTGAGGAGATGCTGATTGACAAGGGCTGTGTTTGGCTTGTGCTGGCTTTGCCCCTGATCTGCCTCTCTGACAAGCTCAGCCAATCCAATGCTTTCCTATGGGAAAGCCTTGTGATTAGCTGAGATCACCACTTCTGACGATGTCAGCCAAGGAGGCAGATCAGTGGCAGAGCCAGTAGCAGCAAACTTAAATAAAGGTAATATTTTGCCATAAAGGTGACCAGACTGAGCTTTTTGAAGATGCATATCTCATGGTACCATTTATTTTAATGCAGTTCTGTAGAGTATAGACCATTAATAATCACACCTCTGCTTAGGGTGACTATGGATTGTAGCAGATGGATAACATTGAGGGTTCAAGTTAACCTTGTTTTGCAAGAATATTTGGCTATTCTGTTACTGAATGTTGGTACTTGGGAAAATGCCATACTCTTCACTATTTTACCAGATCTGGTGTAAGCCTTGCTTTTTTTTTTTTTTTTACTGATTTAATAATGGTTAGAGTTTAGGACATATGACTTTAGAAATTGTGACACATGTTTGAAACTGATTATGTAAACTCAGCTATTGTAGAACTGCTACATATTCAGAAGGAATGACTATGTATTACAGGAACACTCAAAATTCCATAATCACTAGAGGGCCCTGTGTTCCTTGGGCACCTCTCTCTGCCTTCTCTACTATCTCCTCTTAGAGGACAGCTCTCTTCCTGAGCTAATCTCAGAGGTGCAGGACATAGCTCATTAGCAGAGTGATCGGCTGACACTCTCAGCCAATGAGCTGGTCCTGTATGGAGAGGCTTAGCTTAGGAGAGCTGGCTCTCCTAAAGGGTGAGATTAGATAGGAGCAGCAACAGACAGACCCCAGGTGATAAGCCAAATCGTTTTAAAATAGTTTGCGTACTTACAGTGGAGAGCGCCAGGGCATTCCTGGCACAATAACCACTTCTTGAGCATTCTTTTAATTGCAAAGATATGAGCCACATTTTGTGACTGCCATTTACACCAGGCTTAGTGTCTTGGTACTGGATAAACCTGGGGATTTAGCAGGTATTTCATTTTAAAAAAAAGGTCACTTAAAAAAAAAAATGCTTCTAAATTGTAAGGCCTCTTCTTAATGGGGTCTTGCCTGTTCATTTGTCCTGCAATCTTATCACATTCCATTATAACTTTACAGTATTAAGAATGTCACAGACTACCTGAAATAACTAGGTAGGTTTTGTCACTTTAATTTAATGAATAGTGCCTTTCATTTCTTTCATTTCAGCTATCGGTGTCCAAATGAAGCTGACTTTGCTGCAGAACATATTCTGGAGTGTAACCCGCAAGGTAGGTGTCATGTCTATTACATGGGAACTGTGCCAGTTTGGGCACTAATACCTTATATCCAGACATAGGTCCACATGACATTAATTACAAAATCTCAACATGCAGAACTGCGCAAAATATGCTGCTGCTTTAGACATTAATTATTTATAATACAAATTATTATTCTGTCACATAAGAAGTCATTTATTTTGCTGTCCAAGATTTATTGGTAAAGGCCACATTCTATTCTGAATCAAATAAGGCAGGCACACCATTCAAAGATGAAACAATCATGAGAAATTAGAAATTTTGAATCCGTTAAACAGGGATCAAAATGTCCACTTGTCACTACTTGTTAATGAGGCACATACCACCTACCTAGATATTGTTGCAGACCACTACAGCCCTTCATGGCAAAGTTGTTCCCTGATGGCAGTGGCCCCTTTTAGCAGGATAATGCACTTTGCCACAC